GTTAGAGAACAGACAACGTGAGACTGTCATCCCTGAGAAATACAGTAACTGTGTGTCAGATGTTAGAGAACAGACAATGTGAGACTGTCATCCCTGAGAAATACAGTAACTGTGTGTCAGATGTTAGAGAACAGACAACGTGAGACTGTCATCCCTGAGAAATATAGTAAGTAACTCTGTGTGTCAGATGTTAGAAAACAGACAACGTGAGACTGTCATCTCTGAGAAATATAGTAACTGTGTGTCAGATGTTAGAGAACAGACAACGTGAGACTGTCATCCCTGAGAAATATAGTAAGTAACTCTGTGTGTCAGATGTTAGAGAACAGACAACGTGAGACTGTCATCTCTGAGAAATATAGTAAGAAACTGTGTCAAATGTTAGACAACAGACAACATAAGACTGTTACCCCTGAGAGAAGAGAAGCAAGTGTGATGGAGCCCTGTGATCAGCCTGGAACTCAGCCTAGAGAAAGTTTTGGACGGCATCACAGAGAAAGGAAGGGTATCCAAGCAGTGGTCACACTGAGTGAAGGAAACAGAGATTGAAGTTGGGGTGGCAGAGGCAGCTGGAATTTGTGGGGCAGAGTACTGAAGAGGAGAGGACTATGCAGAGGAGGAACTCCCAGAAATCTGCGTAAGGGTCCCCTTGGGCCTGTGGATGGAAATGAGCTGTGCATGCATGGGGTGCACCTCTCATAAGGCCAGGCAAAGAACTATTGAGGAGTTGAACAATTTCCAGAGGCAGAGTAGAGAGAGCCTGCTAACAATAGGTCATTCCATACAAACCCCAGAAAGGGCCAGGCATGGTGGCTCACTCCTGTAATCCCAGCAATTTGATAGGCTGAAGTGGGCTGATCACTTGAGGTCAGGAATTCACTTGAGGCCAGCATGGTGAAACCCTGGCTCTACTAAAATACAAAAATTAGCTGGGCATGGTGGTATGCACCTGTAATCCCAGCTACTCAGGAGGCTGAGGCAGGAGAATCGCTAGAACCAGGGAGGCGGAGGTTGCAGTGAGCTGAGATTGCTCCACTGTATTCCAGCCTGAGTGACAGAGTGAGACTCCATCTTAAAAAAGAAAGAAAAACCCCAGAAAGGCCATGCCATAGAAGAGGGCAAAATTACCCCCAGAATAAAGGCTACTCTGAAACCCTCCTAAAACAAGCCTCAGAAGGATCAAACTACACTCAGATAATGCCTTCCAGAGAAAAAACAACATTCTTGAAAAGAAAACAAAAAAATACAGCATTCATTAACATAAAACTTACAATGCCCAACATCCAATTAAAAAAGCTGTAAGACATTCAGGAATGATTTGAATAATCAAAAAAGTGACCCATAACTTAGAGAAAAATAATCAAATAGAAAAAGACCCAGACGTGTGAGTGATGACAGAAATAGCACACAAGGACCTTAAAATTGTTCCACATGTTCAGTGATCTACAGGAAAATGTAAAGACAGAAATTGGAGGATCTAAGAAAGAACTCAACGAAACTTCTGGAGATGATAAAACACAGTATCTGAAATAAAAATGTGGTTGAACAGATTTTATTTTTTGAGATGGAGTTTCGCTCTTGTTACCCAGGCTGGAGTGCAACGGCGCGATCTCGGCTCACCGCAACCTCCGCCTCCTGGGTTCAGGCAATTCTCCTGCCTCAGCCTCCCAAGTAGCTGGGATTACAGGCACGCGCCACCATGCCCAGCTAATTTTTTGTATTTTTAGTAGAGACGGGGTTTCACCATGTTGACCAGGATGGTCTCGATCTGTTGACCTCGTGATTCACCCGCCTCGGCCTCCCAAAGTGCTGGGATGACAAGGGTGAGCCCCCACACCTGGCCGGTTGAACAGATATAATGGTAGATTAGATGCTGCAGAAGAAAAGATCAATGACCTTGAATGCACAGCAATAGAATCTGTCAAAAAGGAAGAGAATAGCCTGAAAAAGTTGAGAAGAGCTGCAATGACCTGTGGGACAGTATCAGTGTAACACATGCATAACTGGAGTCCCAGAAGTAGAAGAAATGGAGGGATAGAAAAAATATATGAAGAAATAATGGCAAAAAGTTTACAAGGTTGACAAAACTGAAGCCCCAGAAAGACAAGAAGCTTAACAAACTCCAGAGAATGAAATCATAGCCGTACCAAAGCCCTTCATAATGAAATTGTCCAAAACAGTAATAAAGGGAAAGCTTATATTAGAGGGACAGGAAGACACGTGCCATGCAGTGTAACACAGATAGGAATGACTGCAGTCTTCTTGTCTGAAACTACACGAGCCAGAAGACAAAGGCACGACAGCTTTCAAGTCATGAGAGAAAAAACAACCGCCAATCAGGAAGTCACATATATTCTTTGGCAAATATATTCTTCAAAAATGAAGGCGAAACAAAAACCTGCGCAGACGAACAAACGCAGAGAGAATTCAGCGCCTGCAGCCCTGTGCCGTAGGAGATGTTAGAGTTGAGTTCTTGTGGCAAAGAGAACTGATATCAGATGGCATCTTAGATCTACAAAAAGGAATGAGGGGTGCTGGAACTGGCCGGCAGACGTTCAAGTGAATACAAAACACTTTCAGCATCTAAAACAAGGTAATTTTTGAGTGCAAAAATGACATTGTGCAGTTCACAGCAAATGTGGAAGAAGTAGAAGGTCTAACAATAATTCGAAGGATGAGAGGGAAAGTGAAGCGTGACGCAAGCCACCGCCCTCACACTGAAGTTGCGGATAGTAATCAGAGGTGAACTGTGTTAAGCTTAAGGTGTGTGTGGCAAATCCTAGATGCTGCCATCAGACTGAATTCGTACAGTAGCAAACGTACATCGTTAAGCTGAAGACACGTATGGCAAATCCTAGAGCAAGCACTCAACAATAAACCGAAGCAGTACAGCCAGGAAGCCTGTAGCGGAGGTAAAATGGAACCCTAAAAATCCAAAATCAGGAAGAGAAGAAAGTAAAAAGCAGATGGGAAACAGAAAACAAGTAGTAAGATGCGGCTTCAATCCAACCACGCCAGTCATTATGCGGAGGGGACGCCAATGGTCTTAATACTCCAATAAAAACAGACTCTCAGACTGCATAGAAAGCAAGACCCAGCTGTGTGTCAGACACAAGAAAGGCACTTGAAATACGCAGACAGGAGTGAAAGGATGGAATGCGTTTAGGAAGCGAAGGGTCTTCTTGCTGGACACTTGGTGGCCACCAGCAGGCCCTGGCATGGCTACACACAGCTGGAAGATGGCAGATACTGTGGATTCTGACTGCCACTGCACAGAATCCAAATTCAGTGGGCTGTCTACACGGCTTGGTAACGGGTCCCCTGGCTGTCTGGAATGTTCTTCCCTCAAATCCCAAGACAGATTAGTGTCTCACACGTGTTCCTGCTAAATATTACAACTGGCTTCGTGTCCAAGCTCCAATAAAGCTTCTACCTCCCGTTCTCCACAGAGCGTCCAAAGTGGCCTTTAAAAGTATAATCGAACACATCGCTCCTCTGCTCAGAAGCCTTCGGTAGCTCCCCATTTCATGATGGACAAACACCAGAGTCCTGAGGGTCTCCCTGGCTCCGAGGGTTCCCCGTCTCTCACCTCCCACCACTCTCCACCTCTCCCCAATCATGCCAGGGACACACCTGATTCGGGGCCTTGGTAACTGTTTCTCTGGCTGTCTGGAATATTCTTCCCTCAGATGTCCATCCCTCCTCCATGTCTGTTCAGCATCGCCCTCTCCAGGAGCTTGCTGCACCAGTGCCTGCCCATCCCCGGCAGGCTCTTCTAGTCTCGCCGTGTCATCTGGTCCTTTTCCCCTTTGCACTAGCCACGTGCCACACCACACACCACACACTCACTGCTGTCTACTGTATCCCCTCATCTGCAGTGACGGGTCCTGAAGGCAAGGCTCTGGTCTGCTCTGTTCTGATGTGCACTGAGTGTCTAGAACAGAGTGCGGCACGGCAGGTGCTCAGTAAGTCATCTGTTGGCTAAATTGATTGTGTGACCCACTGAGTCACAGAGTGTTAGCAAGAAAGGTCCTAAGAGATGAGCTGGGCAGCTGGCCCTCTGCAGCCCGTTTTGGACATCATTAGTTAATGGCAAAACTGGGGATGGTGTTCTCATGACCCATGTGTTTTTTCAGGGAGCTCTGAGGAAGGGAAGAGGGGAGGTCCCTTCAGTTGGCTGTGCCATCCAGTGGGGCTGGGCTGATGTGTGGAAAAGGAAGGCCTGATGGCTTCTTCTCAGCCGCTGCTTCTGAGCCGCGTGGACCTGGGGCAGTTACTGGGTTTTTCTGCCTCAGTTGCCTCATTTGTGACGTGGAGGGAATTGGTGGTCAAAGCAAGTCCCTCCTGTGACTGCAGCCACCATCCCTCCTCGGGGTTAGGTGGGTAGCTTTGAGAAAGCACTTGGAGGAGTCAAGAGCACACAACGAATGTGGTGAGGTGGAGGATGGAAAGCAACTTACACGTGGTGACAGACGCCTCCCTCCCAGACGGGAAAGGACTTGGTCTCGGAGAACAGCCTTGTGCAGGGGCGGGACACCTTTATACAGGCTGCGACAAAGAAGGGGGGCAGTGCTTGACAGGGGCTCCTGACGCTGCGCTCACCCTGCCCCTCCTGAGGCCGTGCCCATGCCAAGGTAGAGGGCCCGAGGTCTGCTGGCTGGCTTCCTCTAAGGCCAGGGCGGGGCGTGGTGTGGAGTGGGTGAGCTTCTCCTCCTGATACTGCTCTGGCTGGGGTCAGCCAGCCCTCCGCAGCCGTGCCTCGCATGCTGTGGCTGTTCTGATGCCTGTGACGGGTGGCATCACTCATCCTGGTGCTCGGAGTGGTGGCACAGCCCCCGTGACTCACAGGTCAGCCTGGTCACCAGGCTCCTGGCCTGGAATTGGGAAGTCTTGGGCCCCATCTGGCACCTCACGGTTCGGAGGCTCCTGTGGCAGACCCAGTGGTCGCCCAACAGCCCCAGCTGGAGGCACAGGCACCCTGAGGGCAAGACCCGACTTACCAAGCTCACAGCGTCTGCCTTTGAACCCTGGCCCGCAGTCACAGCTGTGGGCGTCCGTGCCTGGTATGCAGGTGCCTCCATTCTGACAGGGGTTTTCTGAACAGTTCCCAGGGGCGTCTGAAAACAGAGGTCACAAGAGGTTAGTCACTGAAAGCCCATGACAGGCCTGCCTCATGGACATGCTGCTGTCCCTTCCTCGATGACCTGGCCTGATGCAGGGTGGCTGTGCACTCCCCTGTGGCGTGCTGCGGTGGCCTCCTAAACACATCTGGGCCCTAGAGTGTGGTCCCAGTTCAGGTGCAGAGAGAGCAGAGGAGACAGGCCTCAGCGTGCCCAGCTCTGACTTCATTACTGGAAGGAAGATGAACAAGGAGGAGGAGACAGAGAGAGAGAGAGAGGGAGGGAGGAGTGGGGCCTTCAGTGCTGAGCCTCCTCTAGCCTGGGGCCCCTCCCCTAGCCCTGCCCTTTGCTGACTTTGTACCTGAACAGGGTTTCTGCTGCTTGGCTCCCGAGGCCCCTCCTGGTCCTCTAACGGGGCCCTCTGTGCAGAGGTGCCTGGCCACACTGGCCACAGGAGCTGGGCAGTCAGCAGTGACACAGGAAGGAGCCAGCTCACATTTCTCCGTTTGTGTTCACTCTATCTTTATTTTTCTCCTTATGATTATTTTTTAGCTTTTTTAAGATTCCTGTTTTAATTTTTGTTTTGGAGGCGTAGTTTCGCTCGTTTCCCAGGCTGGAGTGCAAGGGCGCGATCTCGGCTCACCGCAACCTCCGCCTCCCGGGTTCAGGCAATTCTCCTGCCTCAGCCTCCTGAGTAGCTGGGACTACAGGCGTGCTCCACCACACCCAGCTAATTTTTGTATCTTTAGGAGAGATGGGGTTTCACCATGTTGACCAGGATGGTCTCAATCCCTTGACCTCATGATCCACCTGCCTCGGCCTCCCAAAGTGCTGGGATTATAGGCGTGAGCCACTGCACCCGGCCCATTTTATTTTTAACTTAACACTGAAAAACACAAAAGAGTAAGAGTTGTGCCCACCCCACTGTCTAATACTGAGTGAGGCCCCGTCTCCCTCGACCATCCAGTGTAGCACCCCTCACCCGACTCCTACTCATCTGCTCTTCACAGCCTCCCTGCGTGCCCAATGCACGATGCGGCCGCCCCAGGCCTTGCTGTCCATGCTGGTCCCAAGCCCTGGGTTTCTCTCTCTGGCCACTCCACCTTCCTCACTGGATTCCCTTTGGCTTTTCTCCTTTCTCTGCCCATCCTCTGGGACTTTCCTTGTCTTTTTGCCTTTAAAAAAATAAAAAAATTGAGATGGAGTTTTGCTCTGTCACCCAGGCTGGAGTGCGGTGGTGCCTTCATGTCTGGCTAATTTTTGTATTTTTAGTAGAGACAGCATTTCAGCATGTTGGCCAGGTTGGTCTCAAACTCCTGACCTTACATAATCCACCTGCCTCGGCCTCCCAAAGTGCTGGAGTCACAGGCGTGAGCCACCACGCCCGGCCATCCTTTTGCCTTTCTTGATATGCTTAAAATGAGTTTCTTTTTAAAAAAGAAACCCTTTATTATGGAAATGTTCAAGCCCCCAACAGGTAAGCCGGAAGAGCTCCACGCACTCAGCTTCAACACGCTGCAGCCCGGCTTCATCTGTTTTCATCTCTGTCGCCCTCTTTCTCTTGCTGCAGAATTTCAAAGCAGCTCATAGATACCATGGCTCCCGTGAACACGGCAGCAGTATCTAATACTTCACGTAACCACAAACTGTTATTATTAGAAATTAGCAGTCGTTCCTCAGTGTCATAAGAAATCCCAGGTCATGTTCGAATTTCCCCAGTTGTCTCAGGAATGTGGTAGTTTGAGGTCTAACCCGCTGAGGGCTCCTAAGGGTCTACACCTTGCCTTGGTTTCATGTGCCTCAACTCTCCTTCACCCTCCTGCTTTATTCATGGAAAACACAAGGTGCTGTGGAGTCCCTGCCTGGATGTGGGTCACTGCTCACTTGTTCCCACCCCCGTTTCCTGTAAACTCTGATTACAGAGAGGGGCTTCCTAGGATTCAGGTTCAGGTCTTTGCAGGACTGCTTCTCAGGGATGCTCGTGCACCCCCAGCCACCCCAGGTGGCCTGCGATGTGTCCGAGTCCCGCCGCAAGACACAAGGACTGGTCACTGGTCCAGTGTTGGCAGTTTGACCAACCCAAAATAAAGTCCCTGATGGTTCGAGCAAGGCATCGAGATCCCTGATCCAAGGACTGTTCTCTCACAGGCCTGTCTGACCCTGTCGCTCCTGCCCTCACCTGCTGGAGAGTGGTCTGTGAAGACAGGCTTTCTCTCCCCTGCCTGTGGTCACCTTAGACTGTGGTCCACCCAGGCAAGGCAGGGTGAAGCCTCCATCCTGCTCCTTTACTTGTGCTCCTGCAGACCGAGTCAGTCCTCGGAAAGCTCTAAAGTTGCCCACTAAGTTGCTTTTTCTTTTTGAGTATGGTGATGAAGACAGAGAGGCTGATGTGTTTGATGGGATTCTGTCCTTTGCTGTCAGCACTTTTCCTGATGCTCAATGGATTCTGTCTCTGGCCAGCAGAGCCCTGCAGGTTGGCTCCCCGCCCTCAGGACGTGGTCTGCTGTTTTGAAAGCTTGCTTTCTTTTTACACAGCATGTCCTGGGCTTATTTTGTTCACATCCTGCTTCAGTCTTGGAATCACCCATTTCACCAAAGATCATTGGTTTCCTGGCGAGAGTGAGATCTAGACCCCATAGCCTGGGCACTCATGCTGCTCCCTGTGATGGGACGTCACAGCTTCAGGCCTTTCAATGAACTCAACTAGAAAGTTAGATTTAAAAAAAAAAAATAAACATTACGAGTTCATACTAATATTTCCATTTCAAATTAACAGAATCAAAGGACAGACAAGATTCTTATTTGTTTATTTAAAGATAGAGTCTTGCTCTGTCACCCAGGCTGGAGTGCAGTGGCTCAATCTTGGCTCACTGCAACCTCCACCTCTCGGGTTCAAGCGATTCTCCTGCCTCAGCCTCCTGAGTAGCTGGGATTATAGGCACATGCCACCAAGCCTGGCTAATTTTTGTATTTTTAGTAGAGATGGGGTTTCAACATGTTGTCCAGCCTGGTGTCAAATTCCTGACCTCAAGTCATCTGCCTGTGTCAGCCTCCCAAAGTGCTGGGATTACAGGCGTGAGACACTGTGCCCAGCCAAAACAAACGAGATTTTTAATTTCTTTCATATTATATTTTTAATTCGTTACACTGAAACTCTTGGTGGCATTAACAATCATTTTCTTTATCCTGACATATACATGTAATCATTTCAAACTAACAGTACAAGTAGTACCACTAACACGAAGATCACGGAGGAGAGCCTGAGATTTCTTGGCAATCCTTTAAGAAACTGCCAGACTTTTTTTTGCCCCCAAAGCAGCTACACCGCTTTACATTCCCAGCAGCAGTGCGGTGGGTTCTGATCTCTCATGTCCTCACCAATGCTTATTATTATCTGACTTTTTAATCCCCGCCACTCTAGAGGCTTTGATTTGCTTGTCCCTGGTGACTGATGACGGTAAGCGTCTTTTCAGTGTGCTTACTAGCCATTTGTACGTCTTCCTTGAAGAAATGTCCGTGTAGGTCCTTTGCCCATTTTTAAATGGGGTTGTGTTTTTATTCAGTTGTAAGAGTTCTTCGGTTTGGACACAGGAGGCGGAGGTCTCCTATCAGGTACGATTCGCACCTGTCTCCTCCACTGTGCAGGCTGTCATTTCACCTTCCTGACGGCATCCTTTGAGGCACAGAAGTTCTAAGTTTTGATGAAGAGCGGTTCATATATACAGATACATTTGTTACTGCTCATCCTTTTATTGTTGGGCCTAAGGACCCTCTGTTCTGCCAAATCCAAGGTCATGAAGATTTACTCCTGTGTTTTCTTCTAAGAGTTTTGGTTTTAGCTCCTAACATTAGATTGTTGGTCCGTCTGTGTTATGAGGAATACGGCAGGAAGGGTCCAGCCTCTTTCTCTTGCACGTGGATATCCAGCTGCCCCAGCACCGTTTGCTGAGAAGACTATTCTTTCCGCATTGAATGGTCTTGGCCCCCTTGTTGAAATCAGCTGCCCATGGATTTGTGGTTTATTTCTGGACTCTCAATTCTTTTCCACTGATCTAAATGCCTATGCTTAAGCCATTACCACACTGACTCCATTACCGTTACTTTATAGCACGTTCTGACATGAGGAACTGTCAGTCCTCCAACTCTTTTCCTCTTTTTCAGAATAATTTTGCTATTCTGGGTCCTTTGCAACTCCACATGGATTTTAGACACTGTACACAATTGTCCAGGGACATCTCAACAGCAATGCTACAGAGTGTTTTGAAACATAAAAACTCTGACAAATGATTAAGTACAAATAACCCAAGAAAAAGTCCAAAGGCATGATCAGGCATTTCACGGAAGAGCCAGCACCTCTGGTGGATGCCCATGAGGAGACGCTCAGGAGGTACAGTCCCAGATCCCAGGGCTTGCAGACACCCGTTCTGCCTGCGGGGTCTCAAACCCGGCACCGCCTAGTTCTGGAGAGGCCAGGGATTAACTACCCCTCTTAGTCACTGCCACAGGAGTGGAGAATGCTGTCACCACTTAGAAAATGACTTGGCAGGCTGGGCGCGGTGGCTCACTCCTGTAACCAGCACTTTGGAAGGCCAAGGCGGGCAGATCACAAGATCAAGATATTGAGACCATCCTGGCCAACATGGCGAAACCCTGTCTCTACAAAAATTAGCTAGGTGTGGTGGCGCACACCTGTAGTTCCAGCTACTCAGGAGGCTGAGGCAGGAGAACTGCTTGAACCCAGGAGGCGGAGGTTGCAGTGAGCTGAGATTGCGCCATTGCACTCCAGCCTGGGGCCTGGCGACAGAGTGAGACTCTGTCTCAAAAAAAAAAAAAAAAAAAGAAGAAAATGACTTAGCGAAGTTCTCGTGTAATTTGGGCATTCACACATCCTCATCCTAGATCTAGCATTTCCGCTTGCACACACACTGGAAACCCTGTACGGGAACATCCGCTGCAGCACTGCTCATGCCAGCCAAACACAACCTACGTGTTCTCTGCTCAGAGGGGAAGAGCCGGTGAATTCACCCAGTGGAGTCTGCTCAGTAGTGGGTGTGCATAAGCCACAGCCTCCCAGACTGCATGGGCCAACCTCCGTCTGAGAATGCGGGCTGGAAACACAGGTCTAACGGTCACATGTGGCAAGACACTTATCTTGCAAAGAAAACTCACTGATTGTTCTGCCGTACATATACGTATGATGAAGTCACTCTCCCCACCTTCCACTCTGAAGAAAACAGGAATTCTAAGCACAAAGTTCAGGATCATGGTTGGCTGAAGGGGGAGAACAGGAGTACGACAGCAAGACACGAGGTATTGTTCACGTTCTAGTTCACGGGGGGGTTCTTGACTTAAGGCCACTATTCAAAGGCCAACTTACGAGATAAAAAGTAGCTAGTGTGAGGGTCAGCGTGAACCAAACTAGTCTGCACACTGAGGGGCCACTGATGATTCTGCTTTGCCTGTTACCACTTAATGTCATGTGCACCCATCAGGGCATGAGCACGTACGCTGGCGAACGCTACCTGATTCCAGTGACCGGGGGGCCAGCCCCAGCCCTTCCTGAATCTCCCCTGCTGAAGAGACCTAGGAGAGCTAACATGGGCCCCTCCAATTTCTGGCTTCTAGGACATGAACACCCAGTATATAAAGGGGCTGACATAATGCAAACCATCCGATGAAATGTTTGTTTTTGTTCACTGAAAGGTCAACTTGAGAGTCTTCATATGAATGGGCCAGACTTTAAGGAAAGGCTTCACTCATGGCAGCGGATGCACAAGCCTGTTCTCCTGGCACTCACAGGGGCGAGGAGCAAGTTCAGACCTCATATGGTGCGGGAGAATGTGAACTGGGTCGGTGAAGCCACACTTGCAAACGCGCCCTCTGGCACCCCAGGGGCCCCTGATGTATACAGGTGTCCTGGAGAAGCTGGGGGCAAGGCCTTGTGGACGAGACTGCGCTCAGCAGCTCACACTTTACCAAGTACTAGGCCTTCTTTGGGGCCAGGTTCAGGGGTGATCCCAGCCAGAGTCTGTCGTGTGACTCGGGTGCTGGAAGAGCTGTCTGTGGAGGACACAGCCCAAATGATTAAAGCCGGGGGAGCGGTGGAGTCTGACTCAGGGTGAGGAACACACATCTCTTAGTGCTACCCGGAGGGGAACTGCCTCATGGCTTCTGGGCACTCTTTCTGCAGGTGCTGGGCAGACGCCTCGATTCTCATGGGGCAGAGCCCTGGACTAGGAGACAGTTCCGGTCCTGTGTGGCCTCAGTGTCCACGGTGTCCAGCTGGTCCTCAAGCTGGGGCCCCACAGTGGCTGCTCCCTTTGCTTCCCCCATCCTGACTCCGCCTGCTCCTCTTCGGAGAAGCAAGGGGTGAGGCATCTAGAGGTAGGGGCTTGGGTAGGCTCTGTCGCATGTGGAGGCAAAGGAGGGGAGGGGAGGGGAGGCAGCAGCAAAGCCAGTCTCTCCAGTGCAGACCCTGGGTGGTTTGGGTGGGTCCTGCCCCTGGCCTGTTCCCATCTATGGGCTCCCACTGCTTGGTGGTGTGGCTTCCCCACCCTTCCCAGACTGGGGTGCCTGGTGCTCAGCCTCCCCTCAGAGAGACTCTGTGCTTCCTGGTCCCTCACGAGGGGTGGGCCTTCCTGCCTGCAGCCTCTAAGGCCCGAGAGCAGTCAGTCCCAACGTCCCCACCAGCGCCGCCCACTTACTTTCGATGTCCTTGTCGCTCTGCTCAGGGAGCTGGAGGGCCAGGCTGACCTGCTTGGGGGCTTCCTCTGTGTTCTCGAGCTGTGCCATGGCTGTGGGTTCTAGGAGAAGCCAGGTGGTGACCACACCGCACGGCTTTGCACCCAGGATGGTCCTGGGGCCACCCGTTTGAGTACTTCTATACCTTGAGAGCAAGAAAGTCCCTGGCGGGGACCAGGCTCCCTTCGTGGCCCTGGCACCTGTTGGCCCCAGCACTGCCTCCCCTGAAGGGCTGGCCCTCGCCCTCCTGCTGACCCTCTGGAGGGGCTGGGCCTTCCACTTGCAGGCCTCATCAGAGCTGCTTTGGGGACAGTCACCAGTGACTGTGCTGAGAGGCCCCATCCTTCTCAGGGCTGATACAGTTGCTTTCTCCTTCGTAGGGTCAAATTACACATTCCTCTCCTTTCAGCCTCTGCCCTCTCTGATCCGTCCTCGGTCTCTGCTGCCCTGTCTCGTGCCCACCCCCAACTGCATCTCGTCTGTGCAGGTTCTCACTGCCACCTTGGGCATTTCGTATCTGCTCCCATGGCTGCAGATACGACGGGCCCGCCAGACTCCAGGATCTCACCTGCCCTCTCCCCAGCTCACCATGCAGCAGCCACCCCAGACTCTGGTCCTTCCTGGTCACTCTCCCTGCTGAATGCCCCTCCCTCCTCTGCCTGGGGAGTTTTTGCTCAGAACGTGTTCATGAAACTGGTGACTAGGCTCTGTTGGGGAATTCCATGAGGGTAAAGCACTCGGCCTTCCAGGTGAGAGGCAAGGGCCAGAGAGGTCCCCTCTGGGGCAGGTGGTGCCTGCGTCACTCCTCGAGCATGTCTCAGGGCCTCTGTGTCAGAATCACAGGCAGATTCCCAGAGCGCCCTCACCCGCTAAACCCGGTGGGAAGGGGCCAAGGCATCTGGACCCTCTGCCTCCTGCTGCCGGGAGACATTGCTAGGACAGCGATGGGACTGCTGGACCACACTTGGGAGTAGCAAGTTAGACCCTCATAGCCTCCTGCCCACGGCTTACCAAAACCAAGCCCTACCTTGGCAAACAAGGCTGCCATAATGGCTCAGACCTGCTTCTGGAACGTTTATCTTCTCTTGCGTGCCCTGCCAGCAGCCTGTGCCTCCGCCCACGCACAGACAATGTGAGGCCCTCACGAGCTGCCCCTCCCGCCGTGGAGGCACATGCTGCCCACAGCCGGGGTGGGGTCCCTGGCTGGACACTTTGCTCGTGGTGGGGGTGGTCTCATCATGGAGGGGACAGGGCCTGGGCACAGTGGCACCGAGGAGGGTGGGGAGGCCCTGGCACTCACGTGATCTCACGGTGGCTGCTTTGCTGGGGGAGCCGCTGAACCTGGCGCTCACTCTTCCTCTGCCGTCCACAAGCTCCGAGAACCTGCAGAGAGGGTGGGAGGGTCACCACAGCCGGAGTGCCGCCTCTGTCAGTGGGGCCGACGGGTGGGGTACTACCTGGGAGGCTGGGTAGGGGTCTCGAGGACACTGTGGTCGTTGAGAAGGCGCAGTTCCGGCAGGCGTGCTGGGGGTGGTCTGTTGCTGAGCATCCGAGGGTGGTGCCCTCCCTGGTGCCAGCGTCTGTCAGTGCCGTCACTGGGGGCTGCAGAGCAGGTGGGAGGAAGGGGCTGGTCTGGGGCTGCCATGTGCTCCTGTCCCTGCCCCCTGTGGCACAGGAGGCACCTCCCACACTCAGTTGTGCTTGGACTGCGGTCATCCAAGGCACTGTGGCTTCCCAGACACCCTGGGTTCCCTTCCAGCCCACCTGCCGAGTCCCTTCTGAGGAGGAGCCATGCGCAGCCATGACAGACAGGCACTGGCCTAGGAGTCTTGAGGAGGGGCCGAGTCTAGGCCCCGCCCGCATCACTCCTCCAGCTGCAAGGGCCGGCCCTTGGGCTTGGACTCAGGTCTTAGGCTGCCCTGGAGACACAGCTGTTTCCCCCCACTGGCCTCCTGATAGGACACTTCACTGGGAGTCCCTGCCCCAGCACTCACCCTGACAGTGTCCTTCAGCTTCCCAGGCTGGGCCCTCCTTCCCCCTGGGAGCCTCCCTTCCCTCTCACACTGAGGCCGGCTCACAGAGGCCTCAATCTGCCCCTTCCACCTGGCTGCTATGCTTGGCCCTGAGCCGGTGGGGGTGGCAGGTCGGGTCTGAGAACTTGCCAAGCTTGTGTACTTCGTGTCCCCAGTGCAGCCTCATGGGTTAGGGAGGAGCCTGGGGTCGGAACTGGAGCCCCCTCTTCCCTGGGGAGCCGCCCATGCTCGGCTAGTCCGGCCCCTTCTCCCTGCTGGTCTCCGTCTCTTTCTCCTCTCCCTGTCCCGCTCCTGCATTTCCCACAGCTCCTTGTGTGAACTTGGAAGACCTAGTTCACAGAAGGAGCCGAGGGGCGTCCAGGTCCCTGGTGGAACTGGCAGGGTCGCCTCCACACTAGGGAGCAGACCTGAGTTCTTGGCAAGCTTGGGAGCCTCAGCTCCTCCAGGTAGCTCCTGCCCTGGGCCACTGCACCCGGCATTCCTGCCAGCCTGTGGCCTCCAGGCCCTTTGTGTGTTAAGTGTCCAGTGGCTCCTCATGGGTCAGGCTGGGGTGCAAGGCCACTTCGGGGGCTTCCTCCTCGCCGCCACCCTCGGCACTGTCTTCAGGTGACGCTCAGCCTGTCTGGGATCTACGGGACAGTCCGGCACCAGTTGAGGCTCAATGTGCTTATTATTCAAGTTCCTGGTGCTGCCTGTCTGTGAGCCCTTCCTTTCCTCGTGGGTTTGAAAAGCCTGCACTTTCACACACAGACTCACTCCTCCCCTGCTAACACGGCCCTGTGTCTAGGCCCCTGCACGGCCAGGCCGGTCCTGAACAGGGTGGAGGGCTGGCAAACACTGCCCCAGCCCGCCCGCAGGCACTCACAGGTGATGATGTACAGGTGGGCAGGCTCGCTGTGCAGCGGCCCCTGCTCCGTGCTCTGCACCGCCGTTACGGAGAGCTGGTACCGCTGCCCCGGCAGCAGGTCTCGCAGCGTGTAGGATGCCAGCTTTCCACTGGGGACGTAGCGGCTCTTGGCGCTCTGGCTGGTGGTCACATTGATGACATAAGCCTCCAGCAGGCTGCCTGGAGTCGGAGCATCCCAGACCACATGGGCAGAGGTGGCTGTGACTCGGGTGGCGGTCAGGTTTGCTGGAGGCAGGGGCCCTGGATGAGGCAGGAGCAGGGGGAAGTAAGGGGACCTGTGGGGTCTTCCGGCGAGAACGCAGTGTGAGGACTGACAGGGGCTGCTGCAGCCTCCCTGGAACCAGATTCGTTATTATGGGGAATGGTACATGCTGAGGCGGGGCGTGAGGTAGCACGCACAGCAGTGTCTTCCCTCCAAGAGGCCTGCAGGCCCCCGATGCCACCCTCCTCTTAGGGCAGGATCCAGCAGGGAAGCCCCCAGGCCCTGGCCTGTCAGCTGGCGCCCTCCCTGCAGCACTCTCGGAGCCCCACTGGCCTCTCCCAGGCCTTCCCAGGCAGGCCGCATTGGAGTGCACAGGTGGGCAGGGGCCTGCTCAAGCCTCCGTTCCCCACAGAGGGAGCTGCAGCCTCCTCTGCCCAGTTCACCCGTCCCCGCCACACCCCTGAGCTGACTGCGTGCTCTCTCCCCTCCCATGTGCTAAGGAGAGAGAGGGTGTGGGCCTAATGACACAGGAGCTTAGCTAGAGGGGCTGCTTGCAAGGCACAAGGGCCCTGAGTATCCCCAGATCAGTGAGTTCCTCTGGCCCTTGGGTACCCCGTAGGAACGCCACACTGAGGAGCTACCAGGAGCCTTTAGGGGTGGAGGCTGCCCTGGACAGCTGACCCAGCACAGGGGCCCCTGCTCAGCCTGGCCTGGCCGGACTCAGCCCAGCCCAGTGGCCCCTGCCCGGTGGCCCTAGTGGAAGAGACATCTGGGAGGCCAGGGGCTGGGTTCTGGTGTTGTAAACACTTTGGTGAGGACTGGGGGATGTCCGAGTTTCTAGAAGGCGGCCTTTGGTGTGTGTGGGCCGCACCGCTCTACTCACGGGTCCACACGTGTGTTGGCGCAGTGGCCAGACTCTCCGTGGGGTGCTCCTCTCCCCTGAGCCCACTGAGGGTGGTCAGCTGGATGGTGTACCTCCTCCCAGGCAGCAGGGCCCTGTGGGTGGGAGACAATGAAGGGAACAGGGATATTGGGACCTGTGTGTGACTCTGCTGCCAGACCTCAGCTCCCCCAGGCAGGAGGTGGCCAAGGGGAGGTCGTCCTGCTGCTGGTGGCCCAGGCAGCCTCCACGAGGGGCAGACTCATGGTCTTCAGAGCCGTGTGTTCCTGGGGCGGGAAGCTAACCCGTCTAGGAAGCTGAGGGCTGGGTGCGCTTGGGGCCACTGCAGTGTGGTCAGAGGGCAAGTGTTCAGATGGGAGAGGCCAGAGAAGGGGCACGGGGTCACTGCAGGGATGGGTGACAGGCAGGCCTGATGCCCCCTCAGCACAGGTGATTTGATGTAAATTCTCAGGAAACCGCAAGGCAACATGAGGCCAACGCCGGCCTAGCTGGGGAAGCTGCTGGCTGCAGGCTCCCTCCCTTCTGGCTCTGGCCTTTCCGGCTCCCCTGCCTGTGCTGAGCAGGAGGCAGAGGCTCTGTGGTTGGCGACCACATCACAGGGTCCACTGCGGGACCCTGGGAGAGCTCTGGGCTGCTCCCATCTGCCGTCGTGGCTGCTGCTCTCTGGGACCCAGTCCCTCTCATGTACGTGGGGAAGGTGGGTCCCAGGCTTTCAGAGCTTTGCCTGCTTTATTTTGGACACTTTACAACACTACCAAGGTGCATCTTCTCGGCAGCCCTGATGGGGTGGGGCGGGAGTGAAGCCTCCGGGGTCTGAGGCCAGCTCACCTGCGACCTTTGCTTCTGCCAGGTGAGGAGGGCAGGTACACAGTGCACACGCGGAGAGTGTGCCCGAGACTCCACCCTGCCCTCACCCTGGCCCCACATCCCCTTACCCAAAGGTGAACCTGTCCACACTCCTGTCCACGTCGGTGGCCTGGTCCCCGAGGGCCTCAGGGTGGCGGATGGACACGCGGACCCCACTGACGGTAGCATGGTGGATCCTGTGCAGGGCCCACTGCACCGAGATGGTGCTGGCTGTGACATTGGTGACCTCGAAGCCGTCCACAGGGCGGGGTCCTGGGGGGAATGGGCTGCTCAGCAGGCACAGGCCCCTTCCTGCTCCCGGAGGAGTGCAGGAGCTCAAGACGAGACCAGGCTTGGGAGGGTGCTGGGGGCCTCAGAGAGGCGCAGGAGAGGGCATCCCATTGGCTACTCGAGGGACTCAGGCTGGGTGGGATGTCTGGGCTCTGGCCTCTGAGGCTGACGGCTGCAGAGGCCCACTGTGGGCCAGCCTGCTTTGCCAGAGGCAGGGGTCTTAGTTTCCATTTAGATGTGACAGTGACATGGCAGGGAATGGGCTGGAGTCCCTCTGGACATGAGTGACCTGGGCCTCCCCTCTTTTCCGTCCTAGGAGGATGGACGCACAGAGCTCCCAGCAACTGCAGGGAAGTGGCCACTTGTGAGCTTGGCTCCCCACCCAGCCAGTCTCCTCTGAAGCTCTCATGCCACTGCTGATGTGCCAGGCAGAGATCAGAGGGCAGCCCCTGGCTCCAGGCAACCCCAGTAGTGGACGGTGGTTCCTTCCACCCACCACAGCTGGCCAGAGCTCCCACTCTGCAGCGGGCGGGGTGGGCGCCGTCCTCACTCCAGACACCCTCCGAGGGCAGACCTCGCAGGGGCTTCTTCCTAAAACAGCCCAGGTGAGCCACCCCCACTCAGCCCTTGGCGGCTCTTGCTGCCACCTGCTCGGTGTCACCACACGTATGTCCCAGGCTCCCTGCTGGCTGACGTGTACGCTGTGTCCTTGCTGTGTTGAGAACTCCAGCCCCTTGGTGGTCAGCTGCTGCAAGACAGGCCCCTCTGGGCCCCTGGGTGGGCTTGAGCTGCCCTGAGTGCCTCCTCCTATCCCTCAATGCCTTTGGCATTGGCATCCAGCCAGGGTCCAGGTGTGGCCAGGAGACCTTCCCCCCTGAGAGCCGCCTGGTCCAGTGTCCACTCCCTCTCCACACACCCGCCATGCTACCCATGGTTTTCACTACACTCACGTGGCTGCCCCGCAGGGCCCAGCCTGGCGCTTAGGTCACAGAGTCCCCAGCCACCCACCCATCCATCACACCACTTCGTAGCAGCCCATGCTCTCAGCACCTCTTCCTCTCTCCTCAAGCCTCAGCACCCCTCCCCGTTCTTGCTCCTGTGTCTGGAGGGCACAGGCACGTTGGGTGGGAGTCCCACGGCCCCATGGCCCTGCACCCACCTTGGTTCCCGCCCAGCCTGAGAACCCTCATGCTCTACCTAATGCAGCCGGCTCCATGGAGGGCCAACCCTCTGCTTTCTCCCGGCCCTGCCCATCCGTCCACGGCCATGTTCTAGGATTCCTTCCCCCTCCTCAGAATCCTTCTCAGTGGCACACAGCCAGCCAAGCCCCGCAATGCCTTCCCTAGAGCCCCCACCACCTCCTGCTCCCCAACACGGCAGCAACCCCCTGGCTGTGTACAGCCTGGACCTCTCCTGCTCTCTCGGCAGCTCAGGCTCCGAGGAGGCTCCTCCCTAGGACCCCCTTTCTGGGTTGCATCTGGCCACAGCTTTCAGTGCCAGGCTCCGGGTCTGTCATTTCAGCCCCACGGCTCTTCCAGACTGAGCCACGGACTCTGCCTCTTAGCACATCCCAGTGCCTACCCAAGCCTGTGAGCAAGCGCCCCTCTCAGAGTCTTCCCAGGCCTTCTGAGCACCCCAGACCCCAGCCCCTCCAAACCCTGCACTGGCTCCTCCCCAGTCCCACTTCCTGGTGCCATGCCCGGGGCTGTGCTGCTCCCGCTCCTGGCTGTATTCTACCTGCCTGATCCCACGTGGGCCTGAGGCCGGCTCTGTCTCCCCAGAGCTCTGTCTGCAGCAAGACGGTGCCTCCAACCCCGAAGCTCGGCTGTCTTGCTGCCGGGAGAGCTGGGGAGGTGGATGGCACAACTGCCACCCTGCGGGTGCTGGGGCCAGCACTGCACTTGAGGGGCCGGGCCGGGGCCAGCTTGGGGCACTCACGCGTGTGGACCAGCAGCACCGCAGGCCTGCTGATGTCATTCTTGTTGTTGGTGTTGCGCTTGACCGAGAAGATGGAGATGTTGTAGGCCCTGCCAGCCGCCAGGGCCCGGAGCTGGTGTGAGGAGCGGCTCCTGTCCACAAAGTCCGTGCGGCGGTAGGCGCCATCGGAGGAGACGTACGTCACCGCGTAGCCGTCCAGCATCTGCCTGGCTGCTGGGCCGTCGGGCGGGTTCCAGGAGATGGAGACCCCACTCTCCTCCACTCTGTCCATCTTGAGGGCCGTTGGTGGGAAGAGCTCTTCAGGGTTCGGGTTAAAACAAGGGGGGGACTGGTCAGCTCTCAGCCGTGCAGACTGGCTCCCGTTGGCGGCTCTTGGGCCTGACACAACCATCGCCGCCAGATCCTTCTGTCCTCAGCCAGGAACCTCCAGGAGGGCCACGCTTGCATGTGTGTCAGTGTTTCCAGCCCTGTTTGTGTCCCCTCCCTGTTCCTCGGGGAAGAGGCCTGGTCAAGCAGTGGCTGGATGCTCCGCCCTGGGGACTGCAGGGCCCTCCAGGGAGAGGGGCCCCCACAGCTCCCTCACGGAGGCGGCCTCACCACCTACCTTTGGCGCAGTCCTTGCCCGTGTAGCCCACTTTGCAGGTGCAGCTGTGGGAGCCGTTGGTGACCAGGCAGTAGCCACGGCCCCCACAGGGGCTGGAGAAGCAGGGGTCGCTCACTGAGGGGACAGAAGGCGGCAGTGAGTGCTGGGGTGTGGCCAGGCCCCCACTCCAGCCCGCCTTGCTCCTGGGGCACTGGGTCCCTCTTGCGTGGGTGTGGAGGAGCGGGGGGTTCCTGCCACCCTTGGATTCCACCACCTCCGCTGCCCCGTGGGGCCCACGCCAGCAGCCCCTCCAGTCTCCACAGAGGGGAGTGGACACTGGACCAGGCCAGGCCAGGCCACGTTCCCCATGACAGTCCTCTTGAGGAGGGGAGGTCAGTGGTCAAGGAGGTCTCATCAGGGGGTATCCCACTGGGGGCTGATCAGGGAGAATGTTCCAGATAGAAGTACAGTGCGGGGCCCGCCCGGGTCTGCAACTAGCTTGGCCTATCCAAGGGCAGCAGGGCCTGTGTGTAGATGTCAGCCCCACCTCTGGGTGTGTCCTTGGGTGAAGAGGGGTGTCTGGGGGCGGGGATGAGTGCATGAGATGGGGATGATTAGAAGGCACCATTGTGGGACCAATGAAGACAGGTGGAGGGCCACTGGCCTGTGTCCTGAAAGGGGCTTCCGAGGAGATGGGCAGAGCTCGGGAAGCAGGTGGGCCTGCTGCCCTACCTGTCTCGCAGTGGTAGCCGAAGAAGCCCTCTGGGCAGACGCACAGGTAGGCCCCGCCGCCGCTCTCACACCGGCCTCCGTGCTGGCAGGGGCTGGAGTTGCAGGCGTCCACCTCTGGAGAACACCCAGAGAGTGGGCCCAAGCCGCAAGGGGGGAGTCTGGGGGAGGGAGGAGAGGACAGCGGGAAGAAGGGAAAGGAGGAAGCCAGGGGTAGAGGCCAGGAGAGAGGGGCAGTGGGCAGGTCCCACCCCTCAGCCTTCCCCACCACCCCTGCAAGGTGGCCACAGCCCTGGGGGTCCCTCTCCCAGGTGGCCTGCCCAGCAGGGAATGTGGGGACACCCAACCTCCTCTCTGATGGTCCAGAGGCCCAGGCTCTGCATGAGGGGCCCACTGGAGGGGAGCCCCTACCTGTCTCACAGCGGACTCCAGCGAAGCCTGCAGGGCACTGGCAGACAAAGGTCCCCGGGAGGTTCCTGCAGGAGCCTCCGTTTCTGCAGGGCTGAGCTCGGCACTCATCCCTTTCTGCACAGAGAAGGGGTGTCAAGGGTGTTGCTGGCCTGGGTCTCAGGCACTGACCTACCCCCAGGATTCTGTGCACTCCCTGGGCTCTGGTCACCCCTTCCCTAAATGGGAGTCATTACTGTGGACATCTGCTTCCTCTTCCACCAGGCCCACACCTGCCCCTCCTCGGGAGGCACACCACCTCCATGCCTGCTGGCAGGGTCCCACCTCCAGGCCACGCCTTCCTTCAGGTCACTCCGTGATGGGAGGCTCCCTGGGCCTTGCCCTCCTTGGAGCCTGCGTTTCTTTCTCAGGCTTAGAGCCCTAACGAGGTAGAAGGGTGCGCAGGGCTCACCAGGCAGGCCTCCCCTCCCCCCACTGGCTGGCAGCAGCCACCAGGTATCAGAGACTGTGACCTGCCCTCTCCGACACTACCTTCTCTGCGCCCTGAGGCCAGGCCAGCATTTCTCAGCTGGGCTCTAGTCTCCCCGGGGAGGTGCAGGAAGGGGTATTTGTAAATCTTTGTCTTGGATGTCAGAGCTGGCAGGGGCCGGAGAGAGCATGCAGTGGCCACCCTGACTGTCCAGACAGAGATCTGTCCGGGGACCCAGGGCCTCAGGCACATGGCCAGTGTGCTGGAACTGCCACCCAGCGGGGCCAGGGCCCTCTTACCCAGCTCGCAGTGGGCACCATCATAGCCAGCGCTGCAGAGGCACAGGTACCCAGCGACGCGGTCCTGGCAAGAGCCTCCATGCAGGCACGGCTGCGACCGGCACTCGTCAATTTCTGAGAGGAGAGAGCCCAAGAGTAAAGCAGGGTGGTCACAAATAAGCCAAAGTGAGAGGCACATAAACTAGTTCTGAGGGTCTAGACGGAATTCAATGACATGTCCTCAGTTACTGCAGAGGCCAGAGCCAGGGCTGGACATCCCTGGAGCCGGGGCAGGGCAGTAGGCCTGGGGCTCAGTGCCCGGTTGTGCCTGTGGAGTGACAGGGCGGGCTCAGTGATGATGCTGTGGGACTGAATTCCAGTGGCTTTCAGGTGGACAGGGCAAAGGCCTCGGGTTTGGCAGAAAACGTCTCATGTCCCATCTTGCCATTTCAATGTGTAACAGTGACCTATGAAACCAGTACATCTATGAGAAGTCTTTTTCTTTTGAGAGAGAGTTCTTGTTGCCCAGGCTGGATGGAGTGCCATGGTGTGATCTCGGCTCACCACAGGCATGCTCACCTCCCCGGTTTAAGCGATTCTCCTGCCTCAGCCTCCTCAGGACCTGGGATACAGGCATGCGCCACCACACCCGGCTAATTTTGCATTTTCAGTAGAGACAGGGTTTCTCCATGTTGATCAGGCTGCTCACGAACTCCCGACCTCAGGTGATCTGTCTGCCTTGGCCTCCCAAAGTGCTGGGATTACAGGCGAGAGCCACTGCGCCCACATGGGATAAATCTTTAGTTTTAAAGGATTCATCACAGGTTTCTTTTAAATTGGAAGCTGTGCTCCTGAATTTAAATGTTTAATTTTTTAAAGTTTAATTCTTAAAAAGTAAATAAATGGTAATGACTTAGTGACATCTGAGCCTAGTAACCACCCTGGCAGCCGGAACGGTAAATGGGCTCATCTGACCACGCGCCCTCCTCTTCCCTTGTGTGGGGTTATCATTTCCTTGCCTTTTAAAAATTAGCTTTCCTGGCAGTAAAATAAGTCATTAAGATTAGTTTTAAAATGTTATAAAGTTTTTGTTGTTTATGAACTTTATTTATAGTACATTATGACATACTGTCTTCCCTCAGCATTATCTGAAGAAGAGAACTCCGCATCATGGGTCACCGTAGGTCATAGATTTTCACTGCTAATTTTTGTATTTTTGGTAGACATGGGGGGGCTTCACTGTGTTGGTTCACCAGGCTGGTCTCGAACTGCTGACCTCAGGTGATCCGCCCACCTTGGCCTCCCAAAGTGAGCCCCTGTGTCTGGCCCCAACATTTTCTTTTTGATTTATTGATTTTTGATTTGCTGAATAGCATTGCATAGCGTGGTTATATCATACTTCCCCATTCTCTTTGGCTGGGTCTTTGGGCTGGTTCTAGACTTCTTCCTTTTACAAAACACGTGGCTGTGTTTCTTCTTTCCCATCTCCGGGTGCAGATGTGAAGGTTTTTCTTAGGCTTCTACCCGGAAGTGGACTTGGTGGAACACGGTTGATGTAAACCATCAACAGCAGGCACGCTGCTCACCAGGCAGACGAAGCGCCTCTAGCAACATGTCCTCCTCCACCACCTCCGCCTCCCGGGTTCAAGCAATTTTCCTGCCTCGGCTTCCCAAGCAGCTGGGGTTACAGGCATGCACCACCATGCCCGGCTAATTCTGTATTTTTAGTGGAGACGGGGTTTCTCCATGTTGGTCAGGCTGGTCTCGAACTTGCTGATCCACATGCTCGCCGGTATAGATTTTTCCGACTTCTGAAGATTTGCCAACTGAATGTATCTCACTGCACTTCTGAGTACCTTTTCCTGATTACTAATGAAACAATCTCGCTTTTCGTGTCCGTCCGGCTTTTGTATCTCTTCTTGCATGTGTTTTCCCTATTAGGTTGTTTTCTTATTGGCTTATCGGAGTCCCTCATGGAGTCTTAAAACTCTGTATCTCTTCTTCCAGTTTGTAGGTTATACTTCACTTTCTTCTCTAAGGTTTACGGATTGAAGTTCCTAATTTTCATGCAGTCAAGTATGTTAATAACTTCATAATCCTGTTTGGGGCTTAAGGAGTCTTTCACTACCCCAAAGTCAAAAAGATATTTACCTATATTTTCCACACAAAATCATATAGTTTTTTAAAATTGTTTTCCCCTGTGGTATTTCAGGATTTTCTTTTTCTTTTTTGAGACAGGGTCTTGGTGAACTGAACCGATTATCACTGAGAGACACCCTCTCATTCTGAATGACGCTTTTTGTCTTAGAGTCTTTTTTTCTGATAGTAAAACAGCGAACACACCAGCTGTACTTTGGTTTGTATCCACCTGTTTTCCTTTTACCTCCACTTTTTGTATATTCTTGTTTTAGGAATGTCTCTTGAAGAGCGCTAGCTTGTTCCATACCGTGTCTGGCAGTCTCTTACCTGGAGAGTTAGTCCCGTTCATATTTGTATGTATTCTTTCCAATCTTAGTATTTGCCACATTTTTCTGATTATACTTTTCTCCTTGTGGATGGTGACAAGCCTCACCATGAAACCTGGTAACTGTCCCTTCTCTTAACTGGGTTTATCTCATTACCTTATTATCTTCCTTCCTTCAGAAAAGGACACATTTTTTTTTTTTGCTAAGCCTCTTATGTTTGTATGAGAATATACTTTTTTATGCTCTCACATTTGAATACCAATTTGATTGGATGAAGATTTTTAGGTCTCAAGTTTATTTTGTTTCTTAATTTTTAATTTCTAGGAGACAGGGTCTTGCTGTCACCCAGGCTGGAGTGCAGTGGCATGATCATAGCTCACTACGGCCTTGAATTCCTGGGCTCAAGCGATCCTCTCCCCTCAGACTCCTGAGTAGCTGCGATTACAGGAGCATGCCACCATACCTGGCTAATTTTAAAAGCTTTTTATAGAGTTGGGGTCTTGCTATGTTGCCCAGGCTAGTCTTGAACTCCTGGCCTCAAATGATTGTCTTCCGTTCATTTTCCTCCATTTCTTCCTTTGTATCGATTTCCTTAGGCCTACCCATTTATTCATTTCAGCTGGGCATAGTGGTTCATGCCTGTTGGTTAATCCCAACACTTTGGGAGGCAGAAGCAGAAGGATCTCTTGAGCTCAGGAGTTCGAGACCAACCTGGGCAACACAGTGAGATCCTGTTTCTACAAAAATGAATAGTAAATAAAACAATTTATTCATTTCAGATGTATTTTCAGTTCTAGATTCTCTATTTTGTTACTTTTTTTCTCTGCTCGAATTCTCTCTTTTCTCCATCATTCTGCCTCTCTTTTCCTTTTTCTTTCACATAAAGGAAACTTTTTTTTTAATGGTGAAAAGATATACGTGTATTTAGAATTGGCCAGCTGGACTCAGTTCAGATGATCCCAATTTTGTTGGCAACATCCAAAGCATCATAATCAGGAGCCAGTGGAACACGTGCCTTCTCCTCTCCATCAGGCCGAGCCCGGGTGCTGACCTGGGCCACATCAGTGTCACAGAGCTTCTTCACAGCCTGTTTGATCTGGTCTTGCTGCCTTTAACACCCACAGCGAACACAAGCGTGCTGTTGTCTTCTGTCTTCTTCATGGCGGACTCAGCGGTCAGCGGAAGCCTGACGATAGCATCATGGCCAAGCCTGTCTCTCCTGGGGGCCTCTTCCCAGGATATCTGGGCTGCCTCCGGAGTCGCAGTGTCTTGGGCCGCCGGAAGGTGGGTGACGTGTGGATCTTGTTTTCGTGGCTGTGGACACCTCTCAACACTGCCTTCCTGGCCTTTAAAGCCCTCCGTTTGGCTTCGGCTTTAGGAGGGGCAGGAGCTTCCTTCTTCACTTTCAGCGCCATCTTGTGAAAAGGGGCAAAGAAAACTTTCAATGGAATTTTAAAGTCTGTCTAAATTCCAACACTTGGGTGATCTGCGAGGTCTTTTTCTGTTGGCTGATTCTTCTTTAGATTATGTGTCATAATTCCTTGCTTCTCTGATAGTGTGTATAAAAACACTGGAAATCAGAGTAGGAGATTCCTCCACTAGGATGAACAGACTAGTCTCCACCAGGTAGTGGGGGTGAGGAGCTGGCCTGTGACGTCACCAGGAGTCGAGCTGGGCTGGGCTGGAGCACTTTTCAGTAGTTTCAGCTCAAGATAGGTTTTGAATGCGTGAGGATTTGAACAGGCCTCTCTCCAGGTGGACTTGGATGGAATCCTTGTGAGACTGTGAATTCTCTCCCTCCTTTCCAGACCAGCCCCTGGCTTCTCATGCACTTAGAACAATCCTGTGGGTGAGACCTGCTGGGTGCTGGGAACTTGCTCTCCGCGTCTGTGGCTTCTCTTGGTTTCAATCGATTGTGCTTGTCCCACAGTATGACAAGCTTGGCTGGAGGATGAAAGCGGCCAGCAGCCTCAACCTCTCTGCATCCTCACCTTGTCAGGTTAAATGATAGGATTTCATAGGCTTCATGGAGTTCCTTCAACATTGCAGAGACGGTGATGGTATTTCACGCTGACCAAGTGGATCTCTTCAATATGTGAAAAATTTCTCTATCTCACATCGACACTGCTGTTGAGAAGTTTGATGTCAAGCTGGTTCTCGTTCCTTTGTACATGACCTGTTTTTCCCTCTGGAAGTTAAAATTTTTCCCGTTTGTCCAGGATATGCTGGCATTTGACTGTAACGGGCCTAGTGTTTGTTTCCCCTTTGCTCCTGTTTGGTGTTCTGTGGACTCTTTTGATCTGCTGCTCATCTGGAGCTCTGGGAATTTAACTCCCCAGCCACTCATGCCTTACATTTTCATTTTCTCTTCTTGGGCTCCAATTATCTCAGCATTGGCCATGCCTTCTACCCTCTATAGCACCAATATTTTCTTTTCTTTTATTTTTGAGACAGAGCCTTGCTCTGTCACCCACACAGGAGGGCAGGTAGTTTGATCTCACCTCACTGCAACCTTTGCCTCCCAGGTGTAAGCGATTCTCCTGCCTCAGCTTCCCAAGTAGCTAGGACTACAGGCACGTGCCACCACACCCAGCTAATTTTTGTATTTTTAGCAGAGACAGGGTTTCACTATGTTGGTTCACCAGGCTGGTCTCGAACTCCTGACCTCAGGTGATCCTCCTGCCTCAGCCTCCCAAAGTGCTGGGATTACAGGTGTGAGCCACTGCACCTGGCCCCAACATTTTCTTTTTGATTTATCTATCTTTCCCTGCTTCTTTCTGGGAAAGTTCTTCAAGCTGATCTTTCAACTCACTAACTTACTCTTCATCTGTATCCATTTATATATTGTCTGTTCTTTCAACTATTGCAGTTCTTAACCTGCTTCTGCCCACTTTCTTTTTAAAATGATTTACCAATCCTGTTTCAGATGGCCAACGCCGTGTTTACTTTGTAAATCTGTCACGGTTATTTTATACTGTGAATCCATTTTCTTTTTCTATACGAGATGGGGTCTTGCTCTGCCCCCAGGCTGGAGTTCAGTGGCAGGACCACAGCTCACTGCAGCCTTGACCTCCCGGGTTCAAGTGATCTCCTGCCTCAGCCTCCTGAGTACCTGGGACTACAGGCACGTGACACCATGACCGGTTAATTTTTAAAATGTTGTGTAGAGATGAGGCTCATTTTACGCTTGCTAGTCAGTCCATCTTCTCCACTTCTGCTTCCAATCGTACACATTATCTGGACTTTTACTATTGTTTTTTGAGGCAGATGTACTTCTGAGCTTTCTCAATACCCTGACTGGTTGCTCACATTCGCTGAGGATATCGGCTTCTCATCCAGCATCATACGGGGGGAAGTAGCACTGGGAGGGGGTTGTCTCCAAGACACAGGAACTCACCCTGAGGCCTGGAAGCCCAGAAAGAAAGGAGGGATGCTTGAGGCCAGGTATTCCCAGACGTTAACCTGAGTGAGGCCATGTGGGTTGGTCTTGGCTTGGCGGGCACGTGGAAGGCCGTGACGTGCTTATGTGCCCCATCCATCTCTGGGCACTGCCACACACCCTCCCTAAGCTCATTTGTTTAAAACCCTCGCTTCATAAAAACAAGCTCACATCACACAGACTTTCTGATGCACCGCTGGGACTGCTCTGGCGTAATGTGATGCACCTGCAGCGTGTGAATGACCCGAGTTCTCCAGGGACTTCCGACAGAGGGGGCCTTGTGTCTAGGCTGTGCACCCCCAGCTCCCAAGCCAGATGGGTGGGACCTTGGCGGCAACGCTCTCTGGGGCAACACTCCTCAAATGGCTGCAGCAGGACGCAGTTCTTGTTGAAATCAGGCTCTGATTCCACAATTCTTCAAGGGGCCAGGAGTAGGAGGTGGACCCTGAACCTGTATTTGCCTCTTTAGGACTCTACCCTTGGGCTTCCTCTTGGCCTCAGCTATTGCATCTGCAGAGGGGGCATCTGGGTGTTTGACCCCGTGCTCCAGGAAGCCTTTAGTGAGTGGCTTGTGAACATGACCACTGTCACCCAGGTCCACATTCACAGAGAGACTGAGGGAGGAGGGGCAGGACCAGGTCAGAGATGGACACCCAGGCTTGGGCCTGCAGCCCCTGTGCTCCTCCACATGGCCCCAGGGAGGAGGGTGTGGGCCCCGCCTGCCCCACCCCAAGGGCCCGAAGAATCACCGAGGCACTGGGGAGGCTCACTCCAGACACCCTGTGGCTGGCAGACCCGGATGCGAATGGGGGTGCTCAGGCTGTAGCCGCGGTCACATGCATAGAGGGCCACTGCGCCCAGCCGTGTGCTGTCGAAGCGCAGCGTGGCGTGCTTCACCTCCTCCGGGGGGCCGCAGTCTACCTCTGCAAGGCACAGCAGCCTGTCCTGCATGGTCCTGGGCCTCCCCGGCCCGTCCCCACCGCTCTGCCCTCTGCCTGACCTGGCTGCAGGGCCCAGGGACGTCCTGCTCCCACACTGCCCTTCGCAGGGGAAAGGTGCTTTGACTTCTGGGGCCTGGCTGCCGAGATGCTTGTTTCCTTCTTCCCATTCCTGCCCTGCCCAGCTCTGCAGGGAGTAGCAAGAAGACCCATGCCCCCACGTGACCCCCGGCCCTCTCACCTGCCTGGCACCGGTGTCCCATGTACCCAGCTTGGCAGTGGCAGAAGAAGTCCACGCCTCGGTCCTCACAGGTGCCCCCATTCACACACGGGCTCCGGAAGCAGGGGGAGGGGGCTGCCAGAATGCAGGAGGGTCCTGGCCACTGTGTTGTCCCTGAAGGCTCGGGACTGCATGGGCATCTGGCCTCCTGCACCCAGCTCCACCTCCTGCACCTCCAGGGCCTGGGCCAGCCCTGCTCATCGGCCTGTTTATACATCTGCAGGGTGGCTGTACCCCTGGCCGCCCTGGCCTGGCTTCCCACCCACCTTACCTATCTCGCAGTGCCGCCCGGAGAAGCCTGGGGGACAGTCACATTTGTATTTGCCAATGTAGTGGAAGCAGGTGCCACCGTTGTGACAGGGGCCAGAGGCACACGAGTCTGGCTTCCCTGGAAGCAGAAGGCACCCAGCCAGGTCAAGGGTCACAGCCCACCACCCCTCCCAGGTTCCCCAACCTCCCAGAGCTGGGGCCTCTTCATGAGAAGCAGAACCGCAGCTGGCGTCAAGGGTATGTCAGGGGCCCCAGCTCAGGGCTGGCCAGTCATTCCTGCCCTCCCTACCACCCCTGGGGGCCACACTGATCTCACAGTGCCTCCGGTGAAGTGGTGGGGGCAGGTGGTCAGTCATTCCCACCCTCCCCACTGCCCCTGTGGGCTACACCGATCTCACATAGCCTCCCTGTGAAGCCAGCCAATCATTCCCGCCCTCCCCCCACCTCTGGGGGCCGCACCTATCTCACAGTGCCTCCCGGTGAAGCGGTAGGGGCAGCTGCAGTGGTACTCACTGCCCGCCTCCTTGCACGTGCCCCCATTCCGGCAGGGCCCTGAGCTGCACAGGTGTGGCCGGGCTGTGTGGAAGGACAGAGGCAGATGAACGGGGCCAGGCTGCTGCCCTGCAGAACCACTACATCCTCTTGGCATCTCCTAAGTTCTCTGGTGCTAGTGGGGGCTGGAAGGCCAGGTCTGCTTCTGGGCTGAGCCCCAAGAAGTCTGTGAGCCCCACAGGTCTGCACATGTGGCGGGAGGTGGGGGTGGGGCTCGCAGGCTGGAGACCCCAGCTCAGCCTCAGGCCAGCCTTCTGCACACCTTTCCTCTTCTCTGCCCAGGCTCTGGCAATGGCTGGGCCCTTCCTGGTGGAGAACCAGCTTCACCACTGCAGTGGGAGCAGCACCACCTCCTTCCTGCCACAGGCACCCCCCATCTGACAGGAAGCAGCTGAGTCTCATCTGCTGTGACACTGGGGCCACGGCAGTCAATCTGGACTTCTGTGTTTTCTGTACCTACTCTGGTATTGCCATGTTTTCTCTGGGTCCTGACAGTTCCTGGGCCCCCAGGGAGCTCAGTTGCCCAGGCCTGTACTTGAGGCAAGCAAGTATTAAAAGCTGTCTGCTAAACCAAGCACATCTATCCTGACACCTTGACAACCACACTGTCACAGGACCGATGAGGAGCTCCAAATCCTTGGACCCCTGGGTGTTCTGAGTGGCAGGAGGGGCCAGCCCCCTGTGCTCACTCCTCTCCCCCCCAGCCCTTACCCCCAGGGGCTACCACACTGCATGTCCAAGCTCTGGCTGTCCCACCCCTGAGGACAGCCATTCCTGTCCCTTCTGTGCTCCTTCTGGGTTCAGAGCTATCCGAATTGGTGGCCTGTGTGCTCGCAGAAGCTGGGACCTGGGAGGAGGGCTGTGCAGTTCCTGGGGTGGGCACAGAACCAGTGGAACAGGGACACTGGGTACTGGCAGCCTGGCCTAGTTAGGAGATGTGGGCTCTGGTGGGCCACCCCTTGGGTGAGGTGGCCTCCATACCACTGGTGGGCGTGAGCTGGGCTAGGGCCAGAGTTGAATCTGGACAGGGTCCATGAGGGGCCTCAGGGTGGTCCTAGAAGTGTGTTGAGAAAGATGTCAAAGCTTGCAAAGAACCAAGCACCTGGGTCTTCTCTTTGGAAAGCTGCTGCATCTCTGCTGCAGGAGTGTGGGGAGCCACTGGGTCCACAGCTGAGACTTCAGGGTCTTGCCCTCAGGGACAAGGAACAGAGCAGGGGAGAGGCCATGGGAAGGCTCCACACCCATCCAGGCTGTGGGGTGTACCTGGGGCCCTAAACCCCCAGAAGAGGGTGCCAGGCCATGCTGGGGTCAGTCAGCCCCCTCGGCACTGGCCACTGAGACACCGGACACATCTGGGGGTCCTGACCATTGCTTCAAACTGCACGTAAGGGACAGTCTTGGTGGGCACTGGCGGGGACAGCTACACCTGCACTGTGCTTACAGAGGGATACTCCTATTTTCAAGCAACTAAATGTAGTAAAATTCGACATTCTCCATGCTGAATTAGACTGAGCAAAATCCTAAAGAAAGTTTTTAAGTAAAATTTAAAACAATGATTCTAAAGCCTATTTGGAAAAATGCTGAGCAGGCAACGAACTCTATTTTGAGAAGAGCAAGGAAAATGAGCAGTAGGCCTGGGACTGGCGCAGATTAGAAACGTGCAGGGGAGAGGAGCTCGTCTCAAAGGCACAGAAGCGAGCAGCACGGCAGGCAAGGTTCTAGACGAGGCCAACAGTTCCCAGAGAAACAGGCCCGCGGGCGCTCTCCGAGGTGCTGACGCCCGGCGCGCGGTCCGCCCCGCCCTACCTTTCTCACAGTGCTTGCCGTGGAACCCTCGCGGGCACTCGCAGGTGTAGGAGTCGCCATGGGCATCACAGGAGCCTCCGTTGAAGCAGGGGTCCGAGTCGCAGGGTGATGGCAGGGCTGGGGGCAGAGGGTGGGCCTGGAGCTTATGCTGCATCCGTGTGGGCAAGAGGCTGGGTGGGGCACCTTGCCTGCCGGGGTTACCCTGATATCCTGTCTGGAGCCAAAGCCGCTTAAAATGTACTCTGTGGGCATCTTGATTCCTCAGAGTGGGCTCTGAGCTCCTTCCTGCAATTTTTTTCTTGATTTTAGCAGAACTTGCCCTTCCCTCTTCCATGAGGTAGCACTGAGCTGTGATACGCAAACGCCTTCCTGCCATCACTGCCAGCATCGCGTCATTATTCTATATAATTACACACGATGCAAGTGATAAACCACACGTGGCAGTCACACATTTAACTACCTAATTTTAAGCATTAAATATCTGAATAGCTTGTGCTGGGGCTCGGGGAAGACGCCACATGGTGCTTGTATACTCGAAGAGGCGCTTTTCCACCTTCGAGCTTACTTCCCTGGGGTGGGGAGATATCTAGCCCCGTATTTCAGGAAGGCTATTGAGAGAGGCTCGCCCAAGTGCCAGCTCTCCCAAGGGTCAGCAGGGACTCTGGCCTCTGCCTGCCTCACCCACCACTTTCTCCCTGGCTTCTGTCCCAGCCCCGGCCCAGCAGGCCCAGCCCCGAGCCACTCACAGTGGCTGGCGTTGTGGTCGGTGTGGCAGACACAGAGGTACCTCCCGCCATGCTCCATGCAGTAGCCCCCGTCCGGGCACTGTGTGTTCATGTTGCAAGGCATGGCTGTGATTTCTGGAGAGAGAGGAGGAAGCCCATCCCATACCCCGCATGTCTTCTGGCGGACCTCGAGTCCTTGTCAGGGATGGGGCTTCCCAACACCCCGTGACCCCAACGGTTCAGGCACTCTTGTGGCCAGACCTTCCTGGGTGGGGGTGGAACCATTGGTTGAATCTGGATCTGTGGACCCCAGCCCAAGCCACCATTCATTTCCTAGTTATGAGGATGCTCAGGGACGGGCAGGAAGGGTGCCCTGGGCACCTACCAAATTCACAGAGTAGCCCAAAGAATCCTGGGGGGCACTGGCAGAGGGTAGTGTTGGTGCCCAGGCATCTGCCTCCATTGCGGCACTCACAGCCATTGGAGATTCCTGCCACAAAGAGAGAGAGGAGCCTCCCATGTGGGGGTGCAGAAAGATGGCACCCTGGCTCCAGACCTGCCCTGCTCCTGGCCAACTTCCCATACAAATGCAGCGTCCACATACTCATACGCTTCTTCTCGGGGTGTTTCCCTTATAGATGCAGTGTACGCACACACGCTTCTCCAGGCGTTTCCCATACAGATGCAGTGTACACACACACGCACACACGCTTCTCCAGGCGTTTCCCATACAGATGCAGTGTACACACACACACACACGCTTCTCTAGGCGTTTCCCATACAGATGCAGTGTACACACACACACACACACGCTTCTCCAGGCGTTTCCCATACAGATGCAGTGTACACACACACACACGCTTCTCCAGGCGTTTCCCATACAGATGCAGTGTACACACACACACACACACGCTTCTCCAGGCGTTTCCCACACAGATGCAGTGTACACACACACACACACACGCTTCTCCAGGCGTTTCCAACACAGATGCAGTGTACACACACACACTGACACGCTTCTCTAGGCGTTTCCCATACAGATGCAGTGTACACACACACACACACACGCTTCTCCAGGCGTTTCCCATACAGATGCAGTGTACACACACACACACACACGCTTCTCCAGGCGTTTCCCATACAGATGCAGTGTACACACACACACACGCTTCTCTAGGCGTTTCCCATACAGATGCAGTGTACACACACACACACACGCTTCTCCAGGCGTTTCCCACACAGATGTAGTGTACACACACTGACACGCTTCTCCAGGCGTTTCCCATACAGATGCAGTGTACACACACACACACACACGCTTCTCCAGGCGTTTCCCATACAGATGCAGTGTATACACACACACACACACGCTTCTCTAGGCGTTTCCCACACAGATGCAGTGCACACACACACACGCTTCTCCAGGCGTTTCCCATACAGATGCAGTGTACACACACACACACACACGCTTCTCCAGGCGTTTCCCACACAGATGCAGTGTACACACACACACACACACGCTTCTCCAGGCGTTTCCCTTACAGATGTAGTGTACACACACACACACACGCTTCTCCAGGCGTTTCCCACACAGATGCAGTGTACACACACACACTGACACGCTTCTCCAGGCGTTTCCCACACAGATGCAGTGTACACACACACACACACACACACACACGCTTCTCCAGGCGTTTCCCACACAGATGCAGTGTACACACACACACACACACACGCTTCTCCAGGCGTTTCCCTTACAGATGTAGTGTACACACACACACGCTTCTCCAGGCGTTTCCCACACAGATGCAGTGTACACACACACACTGACACGCTTCTCCAGGCGTTTCCGACACAGATGCACTGTACACACACACACACACACGCTTCTCCTGGCGTTTCCCATACAGATGCAGTGTACACACACACACACACGCTTCTCCAGGCGTTTCCCACACAGATGCAGTGTACACACACACACACACACGCTTCTCCAGGCGTTTCCCACACAGATGCAGTGTACACACACACACTGACACGCTTCTCCAGGCGTTTCCGACACAGATGCACTGTACACACACACACACACACGCTTCTCCTGGCGTTTCCCATACAGATGCAGTGTACACACACACACACACGCTTCTCCAGGCGTTTCCCACACAGATGCAGTGTACACACACACACACACACGCTTCTCCAGGCGTTTCCCACACAGATGCAGTGTACACACACACACACACACGCTTCTCCAGGCGTTTCCCACACAGATGCAGTGTACACACACACACACACACGCTTCTCCAGGCGTTTCCCTTACAGATGTAGTGTACACACACACACACACTTCTCCAGGCGTTTCCCACACAGATGCAGTGTACACACACACACTGACACGGTTCTCCAGGCGTTTCCCACACAGATGCAGTGTACACACACACACACACACGCTTCTCCAGGCGTTTCCCATACAGATGCAGTGTACACACACACACACACACGCTTCTGCAGGCGTTTCCCACACAGATGCAGTGTACACACACACACACACACACACGCTTCTCCAGGCGTTTCCCATACAGATGCAGTGTACACACACACACACACACACACGCTTCTCCAGGCGTTTCCCTTACAGATGTAGTGTACACACACACACACACGCTTCTCCAGGCGTTTCCCACACAGATGCAGTGTACACACACACACTGACACGCTTCTCCAGGCGTTTCCCACACAGATGCAGTGTACACACACACACGCTTCTCCAGGCGTTTCCCTTACAGATGTAGTGTACACACACACACACACTTCAGGCGTTTCCCACACAGATGCAGTGTACACACACACACACACACGCTTCTCCAGGCGTTTCCCTTACAGATGTAGTGTACACACACACACACGCTTCTCCAGGCGTTTCCCATACACATGCAGTATACACACACACACACACACGCTTCTCCAGGCGTTTCCCACACAGATGTAGTGTACACACACACACACGCTTCTCCAGGCGTTTCCCACACACATGCAGTGTACACACACACACACACGCTTCTCCAGGCGTTTCCCACACAGATGTAGTGTACACACACACACACGCTTCTCCAGGCGTTTCCCACACAGATGCAGTGTACACACACACACTGACACGCTTCTCCAGGCGTTTCCCACACAGATGCAGTGTACACACACACACGCTTCTCCAGGCGTTTCCCATACAGATGCAGTGTACACACACACACACACACACGCTTCTCCAGGCGTTTCCCACACAGATGCAGTGTACACACACACACGCTTCTCCAGGCGTTTCCCTTACAGATGTAGTGTACACACACACACACACGCTTCTCCAGGCGTTTCCCACACAGATGCAGTGTACACACACACACTGACACGCTTCTCCAGGCGTTTCCCACACAGATGCAGTGTACACACACACACACACACGCTTCTCCAGGCGTTTCCCATACAGATGCAGTGTACACACACACACACACACACACACACACGCTTCTCCAGGCGTTTCCCACACAGATGTAGTGTACACACACACACACGCTTCTCCAGGCGTTTCCCATACAGATGTAGTGTACACACACACACTGACACGCTTCTCCAGGCGTTTCCCATACAGATGCAGTGTACACACACACACACACGCTTCTCCAGGCGTTTCCCACACAGATGCAGTGTACACACACACACACGCTTCTCCAGGCGTTTCCCACACAGATGCAGTGTACACACACACACACACACGCTTCTCCAGGCGTTTCCCACACAGATGTAGTGTACACACACACACTGACACGCTTCTCCAGGCGTTTCCCATACAGATGCAGTGTACACACACACACATGCTTCTCCAGGCGTTTCCCACACAGATGCAGTGCACACACACACACACACACGCTTCTCCAGGCATTTCCCTTACAGATGTAGTGTACACACACACACACGCTTCTCCAGGCGTTTCCCACACAGATGCAGTGTACACACACACACACACACACACGCTTCTCCAGGCGTTTCCCTTACAGATGTAGTGTACACACACACACACGCTTCTCCAGGCGTTTCCCACACACATGCAGTGTACACACACACACACACGCTTCTCCAGGCGTTTCCCACACAGATGTAGTGTACACACACACACACGCTTCTCCAGGCGTTTCCCACACACATGCAGTGTACACACACACACACACGCTTCTCCAGGCGTTTCCCACACAGATGTAGTGTACACACACACACACGCTTCTCCAGGCGTTTCCCTTACAGATGTAGTGTACACACACACACTGACACGCTTCTCCAGGCGTTTCCCATACAGATGCAGTGTACACACACACACACACGCTTCTCCAGGCGTTTCCCATACAGATGCAGTGTACACACACACACACACGCTTCTCCAGGCGTTTCCCATACAGATGCAGTGTACACACACACACACACGCTTCTCCAGGCGTTTCCCATACAGATGCAGTGTACACACACACACACACACACGCTTCTCCAGGCGTTTCCCACACAGATGCAGTGTACACACACACACACACACACACGCTTCTCCAGGCGTTTCCCATACAGATGCAGTGTACACACACACACACACACACGCTTCTCCAGGCGTTTCCCACACAGATGCAGTGTACACACACACACACACACACACGCTTCTCCAGGCGTTTTCCCATACAGATGCAGTGTACACACACACACACACGCTTCTCCAGGCGTTTCCCATACAGATGCAGTGTACACACACACACACCCGCTTCTCCAGGCGTTTCCCACACAGATGCAGTGTACACACACACACACACACACACGCTTCTCCAGGCGTTTCCCTTACAGATGCAGTGTACACACACACACTGACACGCTTCTCCAGGCGTTTCCCACACAGATGCAGTGTACACACACACACGCTTCTCCAGGCGTTTCCCATACAGATGCAGTGTACACACACTCACATGCTTCTTCTTGGGGTGTTTCCCACACAGATGCACTGTCCAGACACACACACACATTTCTTTTCTGGGCGTTTCCCACACAGATGCAGTGTACACACACTCACATGCTTCTCAGGGTGTTTCCCACACAGATGTAGTGTACACACACACACACACTTCTCCAGGTGTTTCCCACACAGATGCAGTGTCCAGACACACACGCTTCTCCAGGCGTTTCCCACACAGATACAGTGTACACACACACACACACACGCTTCTCCAGGTGTTTCCCACACAGATTCAGTGTCCAGACACTCACATGCTTCTCCGGGCATTTCCACACAGATGCAGTGTACACACGCACACATGCTTCTTCTCGGGGTGTTTCCCACACAGATGCAGTATCTACACACACATACGCTCACGTTTCTTCTCGGGTGTTCCCTGCATGCACCCACAGGGGGGCCCTCCCTGGGTCTCCTGCCCCAGCCCAAAACCGGCAGCCTTTGCAGCCCAGACGCACTCTCCCTGCAGTCCAGGCCCATGAAGCCTTCAGGGCACTCGCACACGTAGCCCTGGTCTGCTTCCACACAGGTGCCCCCATTGTGGCAAGGGGCCGAGAGGCAGGCGTCGGGAACCGAGTGGTGTCCTGCAAGAAAGACAGTGGTCACCAGCAGCCACACAAGGAGTGTGGGGAGAATGGTCTCCCCGCCCAGCCCCCACAGCACCTTTGGGTTTTAACCTCAGTTCTCATTCCCAAGTGGAATTTAAGCCAGAATTTCTGGAAACAGATTTGTAGGCACTCTGCACCCCGTGGCACTCAGGATCTCCCAGTTCCTTCCGTGGACGGACAAGCAGCACTGAGAAACCACCCAGGGGCCAGGGGCCTCCACACGTTTCTGGTCAGGCATCCCTATTGGCAAAGTAACTGGGATTTTCCAGGTATCTTTTTGCTGTTCATCTCTAGTTTAATTTTGCGACGGTCAGAAGACACAATCCTTTTCAATGCATCGGGCCTTACTTATGGCCCACGATGTGGTCTTTGATGGCCATGAGCACTTGGGAATAATGTGAGGGCTCGATAAACGCCATGGAGGCCAAGCTCAAGTCTTCTCCAGCTTTACTGATTTCCCATCTACACACTGTGCACCACTGGGAGGGGAGTGCTGAAACCTCCACCAATAATTATGGACCTATTTCTCCTTGCAGTTCAGTAGCTCGAGCTTCATGTGAATAGGTGTTAACAGGCACAAGTGTATCCACAGTTACGTTTTCTGGATGTATTGACCCCTTTATCGTTATAAAAGTCCCTCCTCATCAAACATTAAGGAGTGACACTGCTTAATGTTTGATTTATTTGATATTAATATAGGCACTGTAGCAATATCCTGATCAGTGCTTACCTAAGCTTACTTTTTGGGTTTTAAAAAATGTTCAATTTCTTCGTGTGCTTTTAAAATTTGTCTTTGTAAATTACAGTAAAATTCACTTTGGTTCACTACACCCCTATGAATTTTAACACATACATAATTTGCTCAAACCCTACCGCAATCTGGATACAGGACATTCCATCTCCCTAAAAGACGTCTTTGGTCTGTCTCTTCAGCGTCACAGAGGTCCTGTTACACCTCAGTCCCCAGCAACTACTGATTTGTTCATCACCATAGTTTTGTTTGACCAAAAACGCCATTTAGTGGAAGCATGCAGTATATAATCTTTGAGACTGGCTTCTTTCACTCAGCGTAATACCTCTGAGATCCGCCCAAGTTGTCATATGTATCAATAATTGGTCCTTTTTAGGACTGAGTAGTATTCCACTGTAAAGAGGTTCCATGATTTGTCTATGCACTTATCTCTGGAGTTTGGTGATTATAAACAGAAATAATATAAATATCTGTGTATAAATTTGTGTGTGAACCTAAGTTTTCATCTCTTTAGCGTTAATATCAAGGAATGGGATTGCTGGGTCATATTAGAAGCACATATTAACCTTATAAAAAACCTGCCAAACTGTTTCAGAGTGGCTGAACGATTTTGCATTTCCACTAAAAATGTGGGGGCCTCCCAGTTGTTCCGTATCTACCAGGTATTATATATATATCTATATATGACATTCCAATGGGTTTGTTGTGATTTCTCATAGTGGCTTTTATTTGCATTTCACTAATGGCTGATATTAATGACAAGAATATTTTTTCATCCATTTATTCCCCTCCATATATGTATCTTTTGTTACCAAGTGTCCATTCAAGTGTTTGGTCCATTTTGTAAATTGAGTTGTCTTGTCCCAGTTGAGAGCTGAGAATTCTCGATGTATTCTGATCCCAGGTCCTCTGCTGGGTGTGAGTTCTGCAAATTCTCTCCCGGTCTGCAGCTTGTCTTTTTATTCTTTTAACCATGTCTTTCACAAAGCACAAGTTTTAAATCTTGATGAAGTCTAATTTATCTGTATGCGTGTGTGTGTTTTAATGAATCATGCTTTGGTTGTTTTATCTAAGAAGACTTTGCCTAAGACTAGGTCATAAATATTTTTTTTGGCCTATATTTTCTTCTAAAAATGTTAGTTTTATGTTTTTATGGTCTATGATCCATTTTTTTGTTTTGTTTTTGTTTTATTTTATGATCCATTTTGACTTCATCTTTGTATAAAGTGTGAGGTTTAAGTTGAGGTTCATTTTTAAAAATAAGGATATCTAATTGTTTCAAATCCATTTGTTGAAAAGATTACCCTTTCTCTATTGGACTGCTTTTAAATCATTTTCAAAAATTAATTGGCCATATTTGTATGAGTCTAATTCTGGATATTCTCTGTTTCACTGATCCATGTGTCTGTCCCTTTGCCAGTATCACACTGAACTAATCACTGTGTCTTTACAGTAAATCTTTTTTTTTGTTTTTTGTTTGAGACGGAGTTTCGCTCTTGTTACCCAAGCTGGAGTGCAATGGTGCGATCTCGGCTCACTGCAACCTCCGCCTCCTGGGTTCAGGCAATTCTCCTGCCTCAGCCTCCTGAGTAGCTGGGATTACAGGCACATGCCACCGTGCCCAGCTAATTTTTTGTATTTTTAGTAGAGACGGGGTTTCACCATGTTGACCAGGATGGTCTCGATCTGCCGACCTCGTGATCCACCTGCCTCGGCCTCCCAAAGTGCTGGGATTACAGGCTTGAGCCACCGCACCTGGCCTACAGTAAATCTTAACACCCAGTAGTGTGATTCCTCAAAATTTATTCTTCATCAAAATTGTTTTGGCTTTCTAAATTCTTTTTCTTTCCATATAAATTTTAGAACCAGTTTGTCTATATTTACAGAAGATTCTTCTGAGAGCTGTGTTGGAATCATGTTAAATGTATAAATCAATTTAGAGAGCACTGCCACATTTACTAGATTGAGTCCTCCAATCCATGAACATGGTATGCCTATTTATTTACTTGATCTTGATTTCCTTCATCAGCTCTTTGTAGTTTTTCAGCATACAAATTCTCTAGCACTTTATTAGATTTATTCTAAAGTCTTACTTTAGAGGAGCTATTATAAATGGTATTGTCTATATAATTTTGGATCAGATTACAGATTCCTCCAACTTGGGGGGCCTCAGGAGTTCATAAATAACTTTATGGAGTTACTGTCCCAAGATTCACCCTCCATAGTCTCCCGAGTACTTCCCAGTTTTCTGGGGCTACCTTTTTTAGTCCTCTGGCAAGAAAGCTGGGCTTTTATTTCCCTACCTTGCCACTTATTTATAATGATGGCATTCATTGCTGGGGCCAAGTGATGGGACAACAGAGAAAGGGAAAAACAACAGGAAAGGGGAAAACAATACCCAACCCCTTTGAAACCAAAGCACCTCCAACTGGAGAGAAAGCTTTCCCTCCCTCACAGTTTAAAGACACCTGAGGGTTCCCCAACTTCTGCACTGTCAGCCCTGCTTCTTAAGCCTGACTAGAGTGCTTCTTTGGAGCACTCTTTTTGTCCATGTGGATGCTCACTTCTGGTTTTGAGGTGTCTTTGAGTCCAGGCTGGGGGGATCCCAGAGCAAAAAAACAAAAAATAGTAAACTCACCACTGGTTTGGTGGTACTTCAAAGCATGGTCTTCTTCCCCAATCCACCTGCTACTATTTACTTTTCAGAGTCCTCTGATAGCTACTCCATGCATTCTGTCCAGGAGTTTAGCTGTATTCAGTGGGGAGAGACAGGGATAGAGTGTGCTTACTCTATCTTTCTCAGAACCAGAAACCCATTCTATTACTTTAAAATTATCCTTGTCTTTATACTTAGAGTGGGTTCTCGTGATAGAATGTAGTTGGGTATCGCTTTTCAGGTTAGTTTGACAGTCTTTGCCTTTTAATTCATATGTTTCATCATTTTACATTTTAATGTGAGTACCAATATGACTAGATTGGACCTGTCACCTTGCTGTTGCTTTTAATTTGTCCCACTTCTTTCTTTTTTCCTCTTCTCTTGCCTTCTGGATTGAGTATTTGTAAGATTCAATTTCTACCTCCACAGTTGGTTTATTGGTTATAATTCTTTATTATTATTTTTCACTTGTTGTTCTAGGGTTTACAATGTGTATCTTTTACTTATGCAGCCTACCTTCAAACAATATTATACCACTTTATATAATATAGGGACCTTAAAATATTACACTTCCATTTCTGCCTATTTTTTATGTTGGGGTTGGTAAACTACAACTCACAGGCCAAATCTTGCCTTTCATCAATTTTTAAAAGGACAGTTTCATTGGAACACCGGAACACAGCCCTACCTATTCATTTACGTATTGTCTACGGCTGGCCGCTCTCACACTACAATGGTAGAGCTGAATTGTGGTAGAGACCGTATGGCTCAAAAAGCCAGAAGTATTTACTATCTGGCCCTTTACAGAAAAAGTCTGCAAACCTTGGTTTATGTTATTGGTGTCATCTATTTTATTTCTACATACGTCATAAATTTCATTATTTTACTTTAAAAATTATCTTTAAAGAGATTAAGAAGTCTTCAACCCGCATAGTTATCATTTCTAACACTCTTCATCCTTCTGCAGAGATCCAGATTTTCCTTTGGTCCCAGTTTTTCTTCTTCTGTCTAAATAATTTCCTTTAACCTTGTTTTGGCCATGCAGGTGCGCTGGCGATGAATGCCCTTCGATTTTGTTTGAAGGAGTCTTTATTCAGCTTCATTTCTGAAATACAGTTCTGCTGCTAATACAGTACACTAGGCTGGGGGGTTCTTTCAGCCCTTTAAAGGTATTACTCCAGTGTCTCCTCGTTTGCATTGTTTTTTGATGAGAAGCCTGTTGACATTCTTGTTTCTCTGTACATAATGTGGCTTTTTCCTCGGGCTGTTTTTAAGATTTTTTATCACCAGTTTTCAGCAATTTGATTATGGTATGGCCTTGTGTGGTTTTCTTCGTGCTTTTCTTGGAAATGTGGGCTTTAGTTTTCACCAAACTTGGAAAATGTTTGGGTGTTATTTCTTCACATGCTTTTTCTGTGATACTCCTTTCCACGCCCATCTCCATCCTCCTTCTCAGACTCCAGATTCATGGCTCCTCGCCTGCTTAATACTGTTGGCAGGTTGCCAAGACCTTTCCTCTTTGTTTCAGTCTTATTCTCTCTGTGACACACGTTGAATTGTTTCTGTTTCACTGTTCAGGTTCACTCATCTTTCCTTCTGCAGTATCTGACCTGCTGTAAATACTATTCAGTGTATTCTAAAAACTCAGATACATTCTTCATCTCTACAAGTTTTAAAATATACCTCTACTTCTCCTTAGTCTTTTCCCTTCAACAATCTTGAGTATATGGAGCATATTCATAATAGGTAAACCTTCATATCTGCTAATTCGATCACTGCTGTCATTTCTGATGTCTATTTCTATTGATCTGTTTTTCTCCTGGCTGTGAGTTACATTTTACTTCTAATAATTTTTGACTTGCTATTTGGATTCTGTTATATTACTGACATACTTCTGTTAAGGAGTACAGGATTTTATTCTGACACATAGCTAAATGACTTAGGATCCATCTGGTCCTTCTAAAGCTTTCTTTAAGATTTGCTATGTCAGGTCCACATTACTTTTTAGTTCAGTACTTATTTATCCCCGTGACTAAAGTGACACCCCACCGAGAACTCTACACAATCGATTCCCAGCCCTGTTTCAGTTCCAGGAATTGTTTGATGAACTGCCTGTGGATTTCACCCTGAGTCAGATAATACTGAGCCAAGGTTCAAGGTCTCCTCTTGATCTCATGCTCCCTCCTGCCTCGGGAGCACCATCTTCTCTGCTATTCCGCCCCACAAACTGTAGCCATTGAACTAGGATCTAAGTTTCCTCAATTCAGAGGGACTGCTGGATTCTCAATTCCTCCTCCCAGCAGAGTGGCCTGGAAACTGCCCCCAGGCAGAATCTGGGGCAATTGTAGGGCTCACCTCATTTGAGTCCCTATTCCCCGGGATGACAGGCTTGTGCTGTCTGTTGTCCATGTGGCTGAAAAAGGGGTTTCCCACATTTTGCCTGTTTCTAGATGTTGATGGGGAGAGGGAAATTCCCAGAGCAGCGAATTCCTGTTGGCCAGGAGACTAGAAAGTCTTTCTTATGGTCCCCAATTTTTTGGCCAACTTCCTGTCAGACCTGATTAGATTATCAGCATTTGTGCCTTGTAACATAGTCAGCTTAAATTAGCAAAAGAGTCAGTCTACTGTTTCTTTCTTTCCTTTTCTTTTTCGTTTTTTTTTCACTATCCACCTGGAGATAGCTTTCCTTTCCTTTTCCCTTTCCTTTTTTCTTTCTTTCTTTCTTTTTTTTTTTTTTTGAGACAGCATCTCACTCATTCTGTCTCCCAGGCTGGAGTGCAGTGGTGCGATCTCAGCTCACTGCAACCTCTGTCTCCCTGGTTCAAGCAATTCTCTAGTCTCAACCTCCTGAGTAGCTGAGATTATAGGCATGCACCACCACGCCCAGCTAACTTTTGTATTTTTCATACAGATGGGGTTTCACCATGTTGGCCAGGCGGGTCTCGAACTCCTGACCTTAAGTGATGCACCTGCCTCAGCGTCAGTGCTGGGATAACAGGTGTGAGTCACTGTGCCCGGCCAGTCTATGGTTTCTTGTTATCCACTTCTACTTCTGCACAAAACATGGTCTATTTGCAAAAATCCTTTGAAGCCACTTATCTGTTTCCCGACATGAATTTACTGAAATACACTGATATTTAGATAGCAATCTAGGCAAAGTGAGCTGTGACACAAACAGTGACTTTAAAGCAGCCTAACAGGGGAGGCTGCCTCCTCCCCACCTGCCCTGCAGAGCACCACCCTCCCCTCAGGACACACCCTGGCTTCCCATGCGCCTGGCAACGACTGATAGAGGGCCCTGACCCTTTGTGTCTTATGGGTAAAATATAATTTCCTCCTTAATTTTTAAACTAAAAATAACCTGAATAGTTTGACTCTAGCATCTCCTTGAAGACAAGCAGCACCTGCTGTGTCCGCAGAGGCTGGCCCGGTGGGGGAGCCTCGGGGGGCAGGTGTGACTATGAGACATGAAAGCCCTGCTTTACACTGTGGGTTGGAATCTCCAGTTGGCCTTTTAATTCCTCTAACAGGTCACAACTAGCAACTAAACAGTAGAAAACAGAATAAAAAATAGTAGATTTCAGCACACGTAGTAAAGGCCAGTTTCTTTTCTGATTCCCATGACTTTCCCTCGGGTGGTGAGGATTCTAGAGTGGGAAAGAAAGGCGTGAAAAAGCCGAGAATCACCCAGGCTGGAAGAGGAGCCTTGGGGACTGTCATCCCTCCCAGCATTTCACAGATGGAAACCAAGGCCCAGAGACGGGGAGAGGTTGCTCAGCCTCACACAGCACACTGGCGACAGAGCGTCCATCTTTTGCTTCCTATTTTCCCTGCAGTTGGTGGATGAGGACGCAGGCTGAGCGGGAAGTGATGGGGAGTGGGAAGAGGGCAGAGGCAGCCCCCACCCCAGAGGCAGGTGTGGGTGAGTCAGACAGCAAGGCAGGAAGGGAGAGTGGCCATGGTGTGTTCACCACACAAGGCCGTCACTGCCATGATGGGCAGCAGGCACCTGGCCAGTTACCTGTCTCACAGTGAGGTCCCGTGAAGGGCTCTGCACACAAGCAGGTGTAATTCCCCATGAGGTCAACACAGGAGCCTCCATTCAGGCAGGGCTCAGAGCTGCAGTCATCCACATCTGAGGGGCAGCAGAGGTGGGGCTTGGCTTGAGCCAGGCCAGGACCACCCTCTGCCCAGCACCTGGTCTCCGGCAGGAGCCCCCCCAACCCGGGGGCAGCCACTCACCTGTCTCGCAGGCGGCTCCCGTATATCCAGCCTGGCACATGCACACCGCAGAGCCCCTCTCCACCTGGCACTGGCCACCATTGTGACACTCTTTGGTATCACAGGGGGACTGGGCTAGAGTGAAGAGGTGTAGACAGGACATTGGACTGCCAGCTATGGTCACCTGATGGGACAGAAACTCCTGGGACATACACTGAGCCCCACTCCTGACTGGCCTGCAGGGCAAGGGGCCTGGCAGGCAGGTTCCTGAGGGGCGGCAGGCAAGGACTGGCTACCTGAAGCGCCTTCTGAACTGGGTATAATTCAGCAAACTTGGGATGGAGGGGGGGGTGTGTGCTGGGCGGGGACAGCAGGGGTGATGGAGGGAGGGGTGTGTGTGCTGGGTGGGGACAGCAGGGGGTGATGGAGGGAGGGATGGTGTGTGCTGGGTGGGGACAGCGGGGGTGGTGGAGGGAGGGTGTGTGTGCTGGGTGGGGACAGTGGGGGGGGGAGGTGATGGAGGGAGGGTGTGTGTGCTGGGGGGGGACAGTGGGGGTGGTGGAGGGAGGGCTGTGTGCTGGGTGAAGACGGGGGAGGGGGGTGATGGAGGGAGAGGTGTGTGCTGGGCGGGGACAGTGGGGGTGCAGGAACCCACTCCCACCCTTGGGGAATGGTCTCCTCAGGAGGCTTTCATGCCAAGCAGACTGTGACAAGAGCTGTTGTCGAGGATGCAGGCTGTGACTGAGCCTGGAAGAGTGGGCAGCACCCAGGGTGTAGGAGCGATGCCTGGGGTGAGCAGCTGGGTGGGCAGCCAATGGCCTGTGCAGGAACAGACAGGGCAAAGGGACTCCGGCTCCCAGAGTGGGCATGAGCTTGGGGAGCCTACCCCCTGTGCTGCCTCCTCGCCGGATGCTGGCCCTCCTTGAGCCCAGAGCACCTGGCCCAGGCATCCCAGGTCTCTCCTTTACTCCCGGGGAAGCAGAGCCAGAGGCGGGGGAGCCACATTCCCCGTCTTCTGACAACTCATACCCAGATGAACTCAACATAGAAACCAGAGTGACAGCCAAGGCATGTGTCCCTCCCTGGAGTCACCGGGGAATGGTGGGACCCTCTCCTTGGCACAGGAAGGAGACAGGAGGGCCTGGCTGCCTGGGAGGTGTGAAAGCGCTTTGGTGGCTGACGGGACGTGGTGACCCGTCTCCCTGACCCAACTCCACTAGGCAGGGCAGCACGCACATCCTTACCTCTAGCCGTGGGCATCCCTGAACTCTGGGGGCCAAGGTGGCTTCCAAGACTAAGGAGCCTCTGTAGGGGGCAGGGGGGCTTGTACCCAAGGCTTGGGCCACAACTGCACTGAGAAGGCCAAGGCTCGGGCTCAGCTGACATGCTGCAGAGCCAAGACCTCAAGCAGGCTCCTGGCTCCAGGCCCCAAGCCCTCTTAGGGGACCTCACCAAGCTGTACATCGCAGAGGGGCGAGGGGCTCCTGGAGCCTGGGGCATGGACAAGGAGCAGCCCGTTCCTGGGAAGCTCTGCCCAGTCACCCTTGGGGACCCTCATCATAGGCCTGGGTGTTTCTGCAGCAAGGCCTCCCCTGCCAGCATCCCACAGGGAGGGCACTGAGTGGGAGGAAGGAGACCCTGTTGGCGTCCCTGGCCTTTCTTTGCCAAGGGCCAAAGCCTGCAGGGCAGAGACTGCCATGGCACCACCACCACAGAAGCCCGATGCACACCCGCCTCGCATCAAGAACACATGGGCAAGCAGGGCAGGAACTTCTGGAGGCAGAGAAACTCCTTTGCGTGGAGCTTGCTCCGACACTGGCTGTGGGGGGTGGCAGGGGCCGGGGAGCAAGGGACACTGGGGGTCACTGCTGTCACCTGTGTGTGATCTTTACAACACACTGACCTGTGGGAGTGGTGCTTCGCTCCTGTGGAGCCTGAAGCCACATTTCCATTGCACTCCTGCAGAATTTCACGCTAACGTACTTTTAGGTGCAAAAGTCTCTTACGGCCACTCAACTAGTTCTCTCCAATACAAACGTGTAAACATTGGAGTGAAATACTTAAAAAAGCCACGACCGTAAATGTCTGATAAGAACTGCTTATAGATACAGTCACTGTCTGAACAAACTACTACGTTGTTTTTATGAACAACGGTCGCACATCAGCCGGTGCAGTCAGGGACGTGCACGCCTGGCCAAGCCGGGTGGGGAACAGCAGGTCATGGCGCTCCGGTCTTAGGGGCTCCCTCTGCAAAGCTCCCTGAGCAGCCCCCCATGGTAAGATGGAGAGCAGGAAAGGGGGTCCACCTTTCTTTACCAGGTGGGCGAAGGGCATGGGTGAGGGCCAGAAGAGGTGCTGGTGGAGGGGCAGGTAAGCAGAGGCCGAGTCTGCCAACTGCTTCAGAAGGGCCAGGCTCTGAACTCTGGAAGCAGCAGTGAAGGTGGAGACGGACTCCACGCCCCACCCAGACGGTGAGACCCCCTTGCCCTTAAGGCAGGGGCAGGAGAGAAACAGCACCCAGGAACAGCTGGAGGGAGCTACAGGACCTGCGCTCAGGGCCACGTGGCTGTGCCCTTCCCGCCCGCAGGGGCCCATCTGACCCCAGAAGCACCGCATGTCCCCCTCAAGCTGGTTCTGGGCTGAGGGGGTCTGATGGCCCCACCACCCACAGACAGGCTCTCACCCAGGCCGTGCTGCCCATCTGGCCCTGACCCAGGCCTGGTTTGGGACTTAAGCACAGGCCTGTTCTGAGGCTTCATCCCTGGTCCGAATGCCATGGCCTCGGAAGCCGCCCACCCAGATATGGGCCTTTCCCCGGGCATCTGGCTCCTCCACTCCCGGCGCATGGCCTCCCCGGGCTCCTCCGCTCCCCGAGCGTGGCCTCCCCGAGCGTGGCCTCCCCGGGCTCTTCCGCTCCCCGAGCGTGGCCTCCCTGGGCTCCTCCGCTCCCCGAGCGTGGCCTCCCCAGGCTCCTCCGCTCCCCGGGCTCCTCTGCTCCCCGAGCAAGGCCCTCCCGGGTTGTCCACCTTGCAGCCGCCAGACTTCCCTAGACCTCAGCCTCCTGCGGCTGTGTCTCCTGCCATCCTGCACCCAGCAGGGCCACAGAGGTCAGGGGGCTCCTCTTACCTGTCTCACAGGTAGGTCCCCCAAAGCCAGCCGGGCACTGGCAGCTGAAGCTGTTGATGCCGTGAGCGCAGGTCCCACCGTTCTGACACGGCTGGGAGGCACATTCGTTCACGTCTGAAACGGGGCAGGCTGGGCCTCAGCGGCGGAGCGGGATGGGGCGTTTCCTCCAGGGCCCTGGGTTGGGCCGGGTGATGGAGAAGCAAGCCCGAGATTGGCTCAGAGGGGCAGCAGCTGTACCCGCCACGGTGCTCACCCCAGGGGCCCATGGCGTTTGGCTCCCAGTGGTCCCCTAAGCATGTCACCCACACCTTGGGGACAGAGACCCCTCACCTGGGCCCCTGGGAGCTCAGGGGCCTGCAGTGCTCCCCGAGCCCAGCACAGCCAGTGTGGGTGCTGCCCTGGGCCCGCCACTCACCCAGGTGGCACCTCCGCCCAGTGAAGCCCGAGAGGCAGGAGCAGGTGTAGGAGGGGTTGCCTGTGACGCAGTCCTCAATGCACTTGCCACCGTTGAGGCAGGGGCGCAGGGCCAGGCACACGGAGGCTGCAGACAGGGAGGGGCCGGAGCCTCAGCCGCTGCCTCGGACTCCACTCCTCGGGACAGCCACTCCCTCCCCCCCCCCCGCCCCCCACCCCCGGCACAAATGGCCGGCCTCCGGGTGCCGGGTGACTGCGGCAAAGCAGCCAGGGTCCAGGTTTCACGTCAGGTGGGAGCAGGGGCCGTTCTGTCGCTGTGGCCTCTGGGAATGTAGCTTCCCGTGGGGCAGACTCCCCAGGGCGACTCACACCTGCCCCTCCTGTCCCCTCCATCCCTCCTGGCCCTGCATCAGGCAGTTCTAGAAACTGGCACACTCCGCCTCCCTCCCCATTCCTGCTGGTACTGGTGTTGTCAGTGTTTCTGGGACAAGGCAGGCCATGCAGGGGCATGGCCGGGGGCAGCGGGAGGGCTCTGTCCCTCAGATGCTCGAGGCTGCTCTGGGGCTCTGGGTGGCAGCTCCTGGGCTCCCTGTCCCTTGAGCCCCGACTCCCTAAGCTCAGATGCAAGCTGGGGTCTCTTCACGCTCTGTGCATGGGTAGCTGGGGCCCCTCGGGTCTCCCTTATCACGGCATCACCTGCAGCCCTCAGATGCATCCCTCCTCTTCCCACCAGGCACGCTGAGCTCCCCACCCCACGGCAGACCCTCCACCCCTCTGAACCCCGAGATGCACTTCCACAGCCCCCAAACTATCCCCGACGTGCAACCCTGTGGCGCGCCTGCACCCCTCACCCCTCACACCACATGTACTTCTACCCCCCACCCCCCGCCCTGTGGCATGGCCAGCACACCCCAGCCCTGACCTCGTGTCACGCCTGTGCCCCACCTCCACCCCGACAGTGGTGCTCTTGCCCTGCTGCCCATCGTGTTCTCTGGGGACTCAATGTTGCAGAAAAGTGGCCCCTCTGCCCTTGAGGTAGCCTAGATCATCCCGGCTGGGAGGTGAGTCTGGGGCAGGTCCTAGTTCGGGTCTCCCTGTGGCCCCAGCCTTGGCAGGGCTTGTGATGCGCAGCCCTGGTGGAGCGATCAGTCACTTGCCTTCGCCCCACGTGTAAGCAGTGATTTCGGAGGCTCCCCGGCTCCGGAGGCCGCACAGCAGCAGGGCTGGGGCTACATACCCGGTTCTGCTGTCGCCCTGGCTGCTCCCACAGGCCACGTGCCCACCCCTGGGAGGGGCACCCACCCCATCTGCTTGTACACTCTGGGCTGGAAGGACCCCTGGAACTCACATTCCACGTGATGCTCGGGTTTGTCAAACAGACACCTAACCCCAGCAAGCAGCAAGCGTGCCAGCAGAAATGGGCATCTGGGTGCTAAGAGCACCTGCCTCACTGGTGGCCTTGGGGTTCAGAGACTATGTGCTGTTCCTCCCCGAGCCCAGATGGGAGGCCGGGTGGGAATGTGGGGAGAACATGGGCCCCAGTCTCAGGGACAGGCACCCCTGGGCTCCTCCTCCCCTGAAGCCCTGCAGCTCTATCCCCGAAACTGCAGTCCCCAGAGGGTTCCCTCCAACCCAGAGCAGTGTGTGTGAGGCTTCAGGACCAGCCAGGCCCTCCTTAATTTCATGTGCCTGAGGTGGGCTGGGCTGGAGACCCCCTACTCTCCCGGTCAGCATCCGGCCCCTCCTCTCCACCTCTCCCCCTTTGCCATCAGCCCCTTCCTCAGCCCACTCCCACCCCAAGCTGCTCCTCTGTCCTCTTACTTGTATGGGCGCAGCCCCCCACGCGCACCTGGGCATCATCGATTCTGAACGCCCAGCGCCCGGGCACACCCACGTTGGTAGTGGTCTCCACATCGGCCATGTCCGCTGTGCGCGAGCCGGGGATACTGAAATAGCGCTGCCCGTCGCCTGCGTTGAAGCCAGCCTGGGGGCGGGGTGGGGCAGAGTGAGGGAGGCTGCTTCCCAGCTCTATAGAGGTTGGGGTTTCCCTGCCCTCACCATGTCCCAGCCAGGTTCCTGGGAGCCAAGGAGAGGGCTGCCCCTGGCTCCCCAGCCCTGTCCTCCAGCAGCTCACCCCTGGGCTCTTGGGCCTCCGCTAGGGCCAGGGGCAAGTATGACCCCAAGAGAAAGCAGGTGGCCAGGAGGCGAGCGGGGTTGTGTGCAGCCCAAAGGCACTCTCGGGCCTTCGGAGCACTGACCCTGCGGGCACTGTCCTGCTTCACTCCCCTAGCACCCAGGGGTTCCTGCCAGCGTGGTCCCTCAGGTCTCTGGCTAGGCCGGACTGCAGGGCACAGGAGCAGAGGGCATTTCTGCTGCAGCAGCTGTTAAACAGGGCCTGCAGGGGCGGGGTGGGGCGGGGCAAAGGTGCCTTTGGGTCTGAGGATGTCTCTTGGTTTTCGGGCAGTGGGAGGGGCCTGAGGGATGGCTGTCGATGCCTCTGCACCGTACTGGGCGGTCTACCTATTGGGAGTCCCTGCCTACCTCACCAGCTCATGACAATCCTGGCTGTGGGCAGCACCCCTGCACTCGCCTACCTGGGCTGCGATGCCCCCCAGGCCAGTGGCGTTGCCCCCGCTGCTGGCATGTGTGCCTGTGGTCCACGTGATGGACTCGTAGTTGAAGATGGTGAAGGAGAGCTTGCCGTCTGTGATGAGCACAGTCTGGAACGTGTTGACCTGTGGGGAGAGGGGGCTGAACAGGGCCCTGAGCTCCCCTTGGCCCAGGGACGCCCTGCCCTGTCCGCCTTCCCTGTACACTGTCATTTTCCACTGTGCCCCGGCTTGCTCAGTGTCTGTGTCCTCCAGCTGGGTAGACAGCCAAGGCAGGACCTTGGTGGCCGCATGCTCTGCTGTCTCCCAGCACCTGCCACCCATCAGAGGCCGTCCCCAACCCACAGCTATTGCTGGAGTGAGTGAGTGAAGCACCCGGGGCAGGTGCGGAGCCAGCAAATGGGAGCAGACCCTGTCCCCTGCCCTTGGGGGGGCTTAGGCTCCCGTAGGGGTAGGGGGAGCAGCACACCGAGTGTTAGCGCTCACTGAGCCAGAGCCACAAAATCTCCTGTGTGAAATGAGCAAAACTGTAAAAAAGGGAAGAGGAAAGGTACAAGAAGCCAGGAAGAGCCGTGCTGCAACGGGTCCCAGTCACGCCTCGCGGGTTTCACGAAATTCCACTGCATGGGAATACTGGTGGGCAGAGTGCAGGTAAGAGGTGCCAGGTGAGATGCAAGCGAAGGATCCGGACTGTTTCAGAGACGATCTGGGGCGAACAGGAGCCCCCGAAAAGGATCAGAGAGTCTGCCTTTCCACTCACACACAAAGAAATCCCCAATCCAAGAAGGCGTTAAAGGGAAAGAAGAGCCCTAGAAAGTACAGGCGAATATGAGTAACTCGGGAAAGTGAAAAGGCCTCGAGTGTGACGCTTGTTCACAGCGAAAACCAGAAGGGAGAATCACACACTTGACTGCGAAAGGCTTCCGGATAGTAAGAAGAGCCGTCCGGTCACAGCGTGGAAGTGCATTTCTAACGCATACGGCAGAAAACTGTCGAGACCCTTAATTCAAGAACTACAGATCAGTAAGACCAAAGTATGACAGAAAACACGTCAAAGGGTCTGAACAGACACGTCACAGTAGAATACAATTAGCCGATGCTGTCAGAACAAACGCGCCACTGGAAATTAAAGAGGCCACGGGCTTAGGCTGGAAAATGACAGCTGGGGTGCAGGGAGGCAGGCCTTTCACATGCGGCTTCTGTGAGTATGAATGGGGAGACTGCTTCTGTTTTTTCTGAGACGGAATCTCCCTGTCGCCCAGGCTGGAGTGCGGTGGCGCGATCTTGGCTCACCGCAACCTCTGTCTCCCGGGTTCAAGTGATTCTCCTGCCTCCCTCTTCCGAGTAGCTGGGATTACAGGCGTCTGCCACCATGCCTGGCTGATTTTTGTGTTTTTAGTAGAGAAGGGTTTCAGCACGTTGGCTAGGCTGGTCTGGAACTCCTGATCTCAGGTGATCCACCTGCCTCGGCCTCCCAAAGTGCTGGGATTACCAGTGTGAGCCACTGCACCCAGCCTGAATCTGTAGATTTTTGAGAGGAAAGTTGGAATTCTGCAGGCAGCAATCTCCCTTCTAAACACGCATGCCAGGTCAGGATCATGAATAAGGCGACTTGGGCTATGCCATGCCTGCCTCAGGCCCCTGGGATGGCAGCCGTCCAGTCGTGGGGTGCAAGTGAAACAAATTCACGCCCCGCCTGAGCCACTGGAGAGGATGCATGATTGTGCAGTGTCCATTCCGCTGACGTAGTGAACATTAGCGAGCACGCGCTCTGCTTCAGGAAAGCAGGCCTACGTGCTAACAGCTGGGAAACCAACGGAGCTGAGGGCTGTGGAACCGGGCTGGTGGGACCGTGCGGGGGACAGGGCAGACTAGCGCCAGTTAAGCGCCCATGGGGGGCTCTGGGAGCTGGGGAGGCGCACAGAGGGATGCGCGGAGCTAACTGTCCACTTTGTCAGCGGACCTGCTCCTGGAAGGGCCTGGGCTGGGTTATGTTTCTGAGCACTTCCTGATGCCTGGCCAGGTGACCCCCTGGGCAGATGCGTCCTGTCTGCTTCATCCAGGGCTGCCTGCCCAGTGCCGAAAGCACTTGCCTGTCGCTTAGAAGGTGCCCTTAAAAGGTGTTTATTAAGTGCATGAACGAACAGCTCTGCACCCCACAGCTATTTCCTAGGGAGTCACTGTCTGTCTTGTTCAGTCGTGACCCAGTGCAGGCCTGGCCACCGTAGGTGCTACCTACGTAGCTGCCACCAGAGCGGCCAGCTGTCCTCGTTAGCGAGTATCAGCTCACCAGAACTCATCAAGCCTGCAACGTGGCGATTATTCTTGAGTCAACATTTCTGTCACCTTTGCATTATCAAGGAATACAGAATAAGCAGGAGAGCTTCCAGTTTAACCCTTAGTGTACTGGGCCATTCCAAATGGAAATCCTCCTAACCATATCAACCCACACGCCTCTCCCTGACATGCAAGCTGCTGCTTTGGGGCATGTGGTGTTTCCCTGAGGCAGGTGGCTTCCAGGAGCACTGGGAAGATGGGGGCTGTGTCCTCTTCTACTCTGGCTCTGTGGTTTTTACCACGTGTTCCCCTCTTGGGTATGGACCAATGATTGTACCCCACCTACCTCCACAAGTGGGGCCCTGGTGTGGGGAGACCCTGGATCCCAGCCAAACATCCCCCCTCCCCAGGACCAGTGCCTGGACTCACAGGGGATGAGGAACTGCCGCCAAAGAAGGTCACTCGGTACCAGGTGGCGACAAAAACCCAGGTGGCGGAGAAGTCCGGGAGCTCGGGGAAGTAGCGCCTGACATCCTCCGTGGCTCGGCGCAGCGTGGCTGGGTCGGTGGCCTCCCGGTAGTACACGTCGCCTGCACGCCGGTTGTCCACATCTGCCCAGAAGGCCGCCACCACACAGCGGTCCTTGGCGATGGGGAAGGCCACTGGGGTGAACTGAGAAACCTCCTTCAGGAAGGAGATGATCCCGTTGTTGTTTACCTGGGAGGCAGAAGGCCGGGGCAGGGACTGACGGGGCTGTGTGCAGGCAGGTGGCCCAGCAGCCTCCCAGCCCCGATGCTAGGCGTCCTCTGAGGGGAAGCCAGCCTTGGGCAGGGCATCCCCAGGGTGGCCCGACAGAAACCCGTCCCTGAGATGGGACCACCAGACCTGCTGCACTCCCCCTCCTGCCAGGCTGTGTGCTCAGGGCACAGGCTCTGACCTGCGTGCAGTACATGCTGCCTTGCAGAGTGCCCAGCCCCGGTCGGCTGCTGTGGGGGTAGGAAAGCCCCCCTTTGGGCCCTGGCCCCGGTCAGTGGGGCCTTGGGCCTGCCCAGCAGCTACTGTTCCTCAGCTCTGCTCCAGCCGGGGCCTCAGGAGGCAAGGCGAAGCCCCATTATCTGAGATAAGCCTGGAAAGGTGAGCAGGGGGCACACTAGGTGGGCTCAGGGCAGGGGTGCCCGCACTAGAGTGGAGGTGGGGATGGCCAGGGGCCAGCATGGCCGGGGAGGCTGGAGGGGCTGCAGTGGTCAAATGGGGGAGCTGTGCTCGGCCTCCGGCAGTGGGGAGCCCCAGGAGGCTTCTGAGTGGCACCTCTGCAGTGAGAGGCACGTGCTCCACCCTGACCCCATGCCCGCTGCCACATCCATGAGGCGGTTTCGCTGCCCACCTCTCTGTGCTCTGCTTTTCCTACTTACAGGAGGGGCCACGGCTGGAATGTTTGTGTTCCCCAAATTCCTACATTGAGACCCTAACTCTCAAAGAGATGGTGCTAGCAGGTGGGGCCTTTGAGAGGTGACCAGGCAATAAAGGTGGAGGTCTCATGAATGGGACCGGCGCCCGAATGAAAGAAGCCCAGAGAGCTGCCTTCTGCCACGGGAGGCACAAGAAGATGCCGTCAGTGACCCAGAAGACGGCCCTCCCCGGTCACCGAGGCTTGGACTTTCCAGACTCCAGAACTGTGCAAAGTAGACTTCTGGTGCCTACGAGCCAAGCAGCTTGAGCTGATGTGGGCACTGGCCCTGACCTCACAGGGTGCAGGGACCCAGGTGAATGAGCTGCTGGTCTCACTGCTCAGCTCTACACTGTCATCATTTGCCACCGGGAAGAATGTCCCAGAACCCTGCTCTTAGAAGGACCCTCTGTCCTTCCCCTTTGAGTGAATCCTGAAACTGGGACTAAGGTATTCCCCAACTGGCAGCACCCCTGCCTCCCACACAGAGGGAGCACCCCCGCCTCCCACGCAGAGGGAGCACCCCCGCCTCCCACGCAGACAGAGCACCCCTGCCTCATGCACAGAGGGAGCACCCCTGCCTCCCACGCAGACAGAGCACCCCTGCCTCATACACAGAGGGAGCACCCCTGCCGCCTACAGAGATGGAACACCCTGCCTCCCACACAGAGGGAACACCCTGCCTCCCACACAGAGGGAGCACCCCTGCCTCCTACAGAGACGGAACACCCTGCCTTCCACACAGAGGGAGCACCCCTGCCTCCCACACAGAGGGAGCACTCCTGCCTTCCACACAGAGGGAGCACTCCTGCCTCCCACACAGATGGAGCACCCTGCCTCCCACACAGAGGAGCACCCCTGCCTTCTACGCAGAGGGAAAACCCCTGCCTCATACACAGTGGGAGCACCCTGCCTCCCACGCAGATGGAGCATCCCTGCCTCCCACGTAGAGGGAGAACCCTGCCTCATACACAGAGGGAGCACCCCTGCCTCATACACAGAGGGAGCACCCCTGCCGCCTACAGAGATGGAACACCCTGCCTCCCACACAGAGGGAACACCCTGCCTCCCACACAGAGGGAGCACCCTGCCTCCCACACAGAGGGAGCACTCCTGCCTTCCACACAGAGGGAGCACCCCTGCCTCCCACACAGATGGAGCACCCCTGCCTCCCACACAGATGGAGCACCCCCGCCTCCCACGCAGATGGAGCACCCCTGCCTCCCACACAGAGGGAGCACTCCTGCCTCCCACACAGATGGAGCACCCCTGCCTCCCACACAGAGGGAGCACTCCTGCCTCCCACACAGATGGAGCACCCCTGCCTTCTACGCAGAGGGAAAACCCCTGCCTCATACACAGAGGGAGCACCCTGCCTCCCACACAGAGGGAACACCCTGCCTTCCACACAGAGGGAACACCCTGCCTCCCACACAGAGGGAGCACCCTGCCTCCCACACAGAGGGAACACCCTGCCTTCCACACAGAGGGAGCACTCCTGCCTCCCACACAGATGGAGCACCCCTGCCTCCCACACAGAGGGAGCACTCCTGCCTCCCACACAGATGGAGCACCCCTGCCTTCTACGCAGAGGGAAAACCCCTGCCTCATACACAGAGGGAGCACCCTGCCTCCCACACAGAGGGAACACCCTGCCTTCCACACAGAGGGAACACCCTGCCTCCCACACAGAGGGAGCACCCTGCCTCCCACACAGAGGGAACACCCTGCCTTCCACACAGAGGGAGCACCCCTGCCTCATACACAGAGGGAGCACCCTGCCTCCCACACAGAGGGAGCACCCCTGTCTCATACACAGAGGGAGCACCCTGCCTCCCACACAGAGGGAACACCCTGCCTTCCACACAGAGGGAGCACCCCTGCCTCATACACAGAGGGAGCACCCCTGCCTCCCACACAGAGGGAGCACCCCTGCCTCATACACAGTGGGAGCACCCTGCCTCCCACGCAGATGGAGCATCCCTGCCTCCCACGTAGAGGGAGAACCCTGCCTCATACACAGAGGGAGCACCCTGCCTCCCACACAGAGGGAGCACCCCTGCCTCCTACAGAGACGGAACACCCTGCCTCCCACACAGAGGGAACACCCTGCCTCCCACACAGAGGGAGCACCCTGCCTCCTACAGAGATGGAACACCCTGCCTCCCACACAGAGGGAACACCCTGCCTCCCACACAGAGGGAGCACCCCTGCCTCATACACAGACGGAGAACCCCTGCCTTCCACACAGAGGGAGCACCCCTGCCTCATACACAGAGGGAGCACCCCTGCCGCCTACAGAGATGGAACACCCTGCCTCCCACACAGAGGGAACACCCTGCCTTCCACACAGAGGGAGCACCCCTGCCTCATACACAGACGGAGAACCCCTGCCTTCCACACAGATGGAGCATCCCTGCCTCCCACGTAGAGGGAGAACCCTGCCTCATACACAGATGGAGCACCCCTGCCTCCCACACAGATGGAGCACCCCTGCCTTCTACAGAGACGGAACACCCTGCCTCCCACACAGAGGGAGCACCCTGCCTCCCACACAGAGGGAGCACCCTGCCTCCCACACAGAGGGAGCACTCCTGCCTTCCACACAGAGGGAGCACTCCTGCCTCCCACACAGAGGGAGCACCCCCGCCTCCCACGCAGACGGAGAACCCCCGCCTCCCACGCAGATGGAGCATCCCTGCCTCCCACGTAGAGGGAGAACCCTGCCTCATACACAGATGGAGCACCCCTGCCTCCCACACAGATGGAGCACCCCTGCCTTCTACAGAGACGGAACACCCTGCCTCCCAGAGGGAGCACCTCTGCCTTCCACAGAGAGGGAGCACCTCTGCCTTCCACACAGAGGGAGCACCCTGCCTTCCACGCAGGGGGAGCACCTCTGCCTCCCACGCAGGGGGAGCACCCTGCCTCCCACACAGGGGGAGCACCCTGCCTCCCACGCAGAGGGAGCACCTCTGCCTTCCACACAGAGGGAGCACCCTGCTTTCCACAGAGGGAGCACCCCTGCCTTCCACACAGAGGAGCACCCTGCCTTTCACGCAGAGGAGCACCCTGCCTTCCACACAGAGGAGCACCCTGCCTTCCACAGAGGGAGCACCCTGCCTTCCACAGAGGGAGCACCCTACCTTCCACAGAGGGAGCACCTATGCCTTCCACACAGAGGAGCACCCTGCCTTCCACACAGAGGAGCACCCTACCTTCCACAGAGGGAGCACCCTACCTTCCACACAGAGGAGCACCCTGCCTTCCACACAGAGGGAGCACCCTACCTTCCACAGAGGGAGCACCTATGCCTTCCACACAGAGGAGCACCCTACCTTCCACAGAGGGAGCACCTATGCCTTCCACACAGAGGAGCACCCTACCTTCCACAGAGGGAGCACCCTACCTTCCACAGAGGGAGCACCCTACCTTCCACAGAGGGAGCACCTATGCCTTCCACACAGAGGAGCACCCTACCTTCCACAGAGGGAGCACCCTACCTTCCACACAGAGGAGCACCCTGCCTTCCACACAGAGGAGCACCCTGCCTTCCACACAGAGGGAGCACCCTACCTTCCACAGAGGGAGCACCCTACCTTCCACAGAGGGAGCACCTATGCCTTCCACACAGAGGGAGCACCTATGCCTTCCACAGAGGGAGCACCCTGCCTTCCACACAGAGGGAGCACCCTACCTTCCACAGAGGGAGCACCCTACCTTCCACAGAGGGAGCACCCTGCCTTCCACTGAGGGAGCACCCTGCCTTCCACACAGAGGAGCACTCCTGCCTCCCACACAGATGGAGCACCCCTGCCTTCTACAGAGACGGAACACCCTGCCTCCCAGAGGGAGCACCTCTGCCTTCCACACAGAGGAGCACCCCTGCCTCCCACACAGATGGAGCACCCCTGCCTTCTACAGAGACGGAACACCCTGCCTCCCAGAGGGAGCACCTCTGCCTTCCACAGAGAGGGAGCACCTCTGCCTTCCACACAGAGGGAGCACCCCTGCCGCCTACAGAGATGGAACACCCTGCCTCCCACACAGAGGGAGCACCCCTGCCTCATACACAGACGGAGAACCCCCGCCTTCCACACAGAGGGAGCACCCCTGCCTCATACACAGAGGGAGCACCCCTGCCGCCTACAGAGATGGAACACCCTGCCTCCCACACAGAGGGAACACCCTGCCTCCCACACAGAGGGAGCACTCCTGCCTCATACACAGACGGAGAACCCCCGCCTTCCACACAGAGGGAACACCCTGC